ACAATTCTTGGGAAAATCCAACAACTGTAACCAACAACTGTGCCAACTTTGCTTATGAGACCATAGGCAATATAATGTTCCCTGGAACTAGTGTCGAGGTCCTGGTCAAGACTCCACTGCAAATGAGTCAGAAAGAGAGAGACAGACATAAAAGGACTGCACTCATTTGTGGAATATAAAATAACATAATATGAGACTGACACCCAATGAAAGTAGACACAAGGGCCTGGAATATTGCCCCATAGTTGGAAGTCTGTCTCAAGAGCTGGGGGAGAAGGCAGCTGAAATAAAGAAGGGATCATTAAGTCAATGATGATTGGAGGAATTGTTCGGGATGGGCAATGTATGCTGAAAGTAGATAAAGGACCAAAAGTGATAACCTCTCAGTATCTGTATTACAAACTATAATGCCCAAAACTTGAGAGTATGGGGAAAATTGTCTGCCATGGAGGGTCGGAAAGGGGGGGTATAGTGGGGACATTGGTGGTGGAGAATGTGCACTGGTGGAGGGATGGGTATTTTATCATTGTATGGTTGAAACAACTGGGCTGGAGCGATAGCACAGCGGGTAGGGCGTCTGCCTTGCATGCGGCCAACATGGCCGACCCGAGTTCGATTCCTCCTCCCCTCTCGGAGAGCCCGGCAAGCTACCGAGAGTATTGGATATGCCAGACACAGTAACAACAAAGTCTCCAATGGAGACGTTACTGGGCCCGCTCGAGCAAATCGATGATCAATGGGAGGGCCTTTACCTTTACCTTTATGGCTGAAACAAATAAGAGATAGAATCCGGAGTTCCGATCTCCATCAACGCTCAAGAATCAGGGACGCTGTCTCATTTGCCAAGGCATCAAAAATCAGATGGGCTGGACACGTAATGAGGTTTAAAGATGACCGCTGGACTAGAGCCATTACTGACTGGATTCCACGGGACGTCAAAAGATCGCGTGGACGCCCACCTACAAGATGGGCGTCTTTGTCAAGACCCTGAATGATCAGTTTGAGGCTCTGCATATTCCTAGAATGAGCAGATGCCATTGGGCTATGCTAGCACGCAACAGGGATGAATGGAGACGTTACTGGCACCCGCTTGAGTAAACTAATGAGTAACGGGGTATCAAGTGATCAAGTGATGATTGAAACTCAAACATGAAAGTTTGTAACTGTATCTCAATAATTCAGTAATAAAAAACTAAAAATATTTAAAAAAAAAAAGACTCCGCTGCGTTGGATAAGGCTTGGAGCTTAGCTTGAGTTAGCAATAAAGGCTCCTTTGCTCTTGCATTCTCACTTGTGGAACTAGTCTCTCTACAAACGGGAAACCCCAAACCCAGGTATAACATATCCAGTGAATGCGAACACAACTCAGAAAGCTTTGTTTATTCATCACTATTTACAGTAGCCAAGAGAGGGGAACAACCTAAGCGCCCACTGAGAGATGATTGGACAGACAGGAATGTAGGTACACAGAGGAATGGAGTCGACTAGACACAGGTGGAGTCCTGCTTGGTGTGGTTTCATGGGCAGACTTCAAGGAGCTGTGCTAAGTGAAGTAAGTCAGACGGAGAAAGACAAATACTGACGAATGTCATTCGGATGTGATAACAAAACAAATGAACCAACAGTCCCTCCCACAACCCCCAAATCCTTAGGTTCAGACAACAGGATGGTGGTTACCAATGTGACAAGGGGCTGGGGAGGTGGGAAGTGAAATAGATAAAGGGGGTCAATTACTCGGTGGTGAATGGGAAGTCGACTTTTGGTGCGGTTCCTAGCACGGTCTACGTGGGTGTCAGAATCTAATGCTGCACAAAAGCAAAGGAAGGGACCAAAATAGAGAAAACACCTGGACCTCGAAGGCAGCATGGAGGGAATCAGAGGAACGGAGGTAGGAGGAAATGTATGTTTCAAAAGGTATGAACTGTACTCCTAAAAGAACAGGCTTATAAACCAATGCTGCGTCAATTAAACCAAATACGGAATATGGAATGTACATATCTGAATCCTATGTTCTGTTACAGAAACTATTATCCCACTTCAACAAAAATAAAGTCTATCGATTCAACAACAGAAAGAATGCATTAAAGGGCAAGGAGGATTAGTTTATGATTGGAAGCCGGCATCAAGTGCTGGGGGAGAGGGCAACTGGGATAGAGAAGGGGTCATTTTGACTAAGACCATTGGAAATGATCCCTCTGGATAGAAACTGTGTTCAGAAACTAGGTAAAAGAACAAACACGATAACCTCTCAGTATCTGAGTTGTAGATCACAGTGCCCAGAAGGGAGGAGGGAGATGGGGGGAAGTGCTTGCCATAGAGCCATAGAGCCAGGCTAGGCGAGGGAGGGGGGTGGCAGGAGGGAAACTAGGGACATTGGTGGTGGGAAATGGACACTGGTGGAGGGGTGGGTGTTGGATCATGTATGACTGAAACATGATCATGATCAGTTTTGTAACTGTGTACCTCAGTGACTCAATTGAAAAAAATATATATAAACCCCAAACAAAAATCAACAAAGGAAAAGAATGTATTGATTGATAGAGGGAGATCAGAGGAAAGAACAACTGTTGTTCAGGGCATACTTGCTTCCTCTCACTTTCCAGTGAATGAAAAGAAAAGCCAACACAGAGTTTCAATTATGCCTCAGACCCTGCCTGAGCAGAGCAGTATTCTGCCCGTTGGGAATCCTGGGGCCATAGACCATAACTGCAACTAATGGGGGTTGCACTGATGCTAAGGGTTGTCTAAGAGCTAAAGATAGTTTACATGGGCGTGTGTCTCAAGCTTTGACAAGACCCCCAGAATCCCCATCTGAAGATGTGAGAAAACATAAGACCGTATATTTCACATGTAGAAGCTGACAAGTTTGAACAAAGTACTCACCTACAATACCATCATCTCAATGAAGGGACTAAATGGGACAAGGTCAATGGGACAAGGGAGATAACATACAGGAGGGAGAGTATTTGCCTTGTAAAAGCCTGACCCGGGTTCAAACTTTGGCACTGAGCACGGAGCCAGGAGTAAGATCTGAGCACAGCTCTGGCTCCTGTCCTATCTAATATAAATCTATCTTTACTTCTCCAAGTTTCCTTAAATCCCCTTGCTTGAAAGTGTTAAACAATTGTTTAATGGTACTGCAACTTAACCCACACCAGGTTTTCAATAATTAGCATTTCAAAATTTAGTATTTTTTTAAAAAATGTGTAAAATAGCTCAGTAATTTAGATTATTTACATAAGAAAATAATACTGAGTTAAAGCAAGTACATTCAAAAAAAAGAATAGATCCTTTCCGGAAAAAACAATAAGTAAATGAAGTACGTTCTTTTTTAAAGAAATGAACACTTAATATGAGATCTTTCCACTTAACTTTTAAACATTTAAACACATTTTTAAGTGGCTTGTCTAGCTGGGACAGATCCTGACTCAACATGACTCCAATGTTTCAGAGCTGGGCTATTCAAAGAGCTCATCATGGGATATGTCTTTATTTGCATTTCCATGATAATAAAAGCTGTGGAGCGTTTTTACTTTATTTTTGCTTTGTGGGTCACACCCAGTGATGCTCAGGGGTTCCTCCTGGCTCTGCACTCAGGAATCACTCCTGGCGGTGCTTGGGGACCATATGGGATGCTGGGAATCGAACCCGGGTTGGACGCATGCAAGGCAAATGCTCTACACACTGTGCTATCACTCCAGCCCTGTGGAGCATTATTTTTTAAATACGTTCTTTAAACATAAAGTTCTTTTCTTTTTCTTTCATTGCATGTTTGGGGGCCACACCAGCACTGGGGATCAAACCTGGGTTGACCATATGCACGGCCACTGCCCTACCCGCTGTACTCTCTCTAACCCCAGTTGTATGTTCTTCCCACCTGTCAAGGTCGCCTGAGATCAGACAAACAATAAAGGTAAATAAGAAATGTAATAAAGTCGAAGACATAAAAATACCAGTGCAGAAGAGGCAGAAGTACATTTTTGTTGTTTCACACCCAGTGATGCTCAGGAGTCACACCTGGCTCGTGAATCACTCCTGGTGGTGCTTGGGGGACCATATGGGATGCCAGGGCTCGAACTCAGCTCAGCTGCGTGCAAGACAAACACCCTCCCCACTGTCCTATCACTCTGGCCCCCACGGCAGAAGTGCTTTTATTGGTTCCTCCATCCTCAGCGCTCCAGCTCCACCCGAGACCACTGCTCTCAAGGGTCCTGTTTCTGCTGGAACATCAACCTCCCCCATCTCGGTTCTCTTACACCTGCTCTAAGAAGTATTTCCCTCCCAACCTGGCCAGCCCCATGGTGCATAGGTTAGCCATGCTCACCCCAGCTCTCAATCTTCAGCCCTCACAGCCTCTGCCTCGCTATGAGCCCAGTGACTGGCTGCAGCCTCCCTTGGGCTCCAGTGGGCCTTGCAGTGCTGTTGGGCCCTTCCTCCCACTGCATGGGTCTGACGTCCTCTGTGCCCTCTCACCCCTCCCCAAGGCCCACCTTCAGCCCTCCCACACTGCAGCCACCAGCACTTCCTCCCCTCTGCCCATCCCTACACTCAGCTGCCCTGAATCGGCCTTGAAGTCCTACAGCAGAGCACCAGCCTTCACTCCAGCCCCCTCCTAGGTTGACAGGACCTGGCCACGTCATCTCAAAGTCAAGAATGAGCGATAGTAAAGTGGGTAGAGCATTTACCTGGCACGCTCCGACCCGGGTTCAATCCCTGCCATTTCATAGGGTGCCCTCAGCACCACCAGGGGTGATTCCTGAATGCAGAGTCGGGAGTAAACCCCTGAGCACCGTCGGGTGTGGCCCCCAAACCAACAACAACAAAAAAGAATGAAAAAAAATACAGAACCAAGCATTTGCAATTTCTTTTCTACAGGCAAGTAATAACATAGCTTTTAAAAGTCTCATTCTGCAGTAAATACATTTAATGATATTCTTTATAAATAAAGTCATCAAAGCAGTAAATACATGATAAAATTTTTGACATGAGATTACAGAGTGCAGAGATTGATTCTGACAATATAAAAATGACCTCTTTCTTCCTTCTAAAATAACATTTAAGTTAATCAATTTTACAAAATGATTAAATGTTTAAAAAGTGCTAGATAATGTCTCCATTGTGTTCCATTTTGAAAGCAATTGAAAGTACAATGGTTGGACTCTGAGAAAGGATTAAGGCATAAGTCTCACGGGATGCTGCCCGCACAGACTTTCTCGGCAGTGGGCCTTTGAGACGCTCATGAGTTCAAGGCCAGCAGGGCATCATCTGCCCTCGGTCACCCTCTCCTGATGCCCTCAGCCCTGGCCCACCCCTCTGGAGCCATTTCCCATGCCCACTAGCTCCTTGTCTTCAGGAGAAAAGGTTTCTGGCATCTTTTTAGTACATAAATCCTATGGCACATGCCCTGGGTTTGCAAGTCCAGGCATGTTGCACTTAAATATTACACGCACACACATAAATATCCCGATGCTAATGCCAAATGAACCAAGTCACCTGGTCACTTGATTTCATATCATATGGTCACATAATTTCATATGGTCACTTGGTCTCATATCACTTGTCGAGGTAGGATGCTTAACTTCGCTCTAAGAAAACTAGACAAATGGTGCTTATACTGGGAAGGCTTCTAATGCTTTCTCTGCATTCTTCCAGTTGTGAAAATTCTCTCTGTACCATTCAACTGATGGAAAAAAGCAAAAGACAACCATTAGAAAAAAGAAAGAAACAAAACGGCACATTCAGAGTTCCTGCTAAATAAGAAAAGTCTTCCATCAGCTAAGCCTTTAACAATGGAAACTATTTTATCACGTGAAAACTGTTAACATAAGTTTTTTTTTTTCAAACGTCAAAGGTCCGTTAATACTGAACTTGCTGGCTTAAGTGTTTAAAATGTCCTAATCTGAAGAAATTCAGAAGAAATCTAAGAAGAAAGGGAATTAAATCCTTTGCACTGGTCATGGGAGAAGCTTGTGATTTTGCTCCTGTAAATGTAGCAAAAGAGCAAATACCAGTTATAGTAAGGGGGTAGCAGTGTCCTTCTGCTACTGTGTGACATGCGATGCACAGGGGTTACTCCTGGCTCTGCACTCAGGAATTATCCCTGGCGGTGCTCAGGGGACCATATGGGATATGCTGGGAATCGAACCTGAGTCGGCTGCGTGCAAGGCAAACGCCCTACCCACTGTGCTATCGCTCCAGCCCTGAATTTACTTTTTACAATTAAACAAGTATTTTATACTTCAAGTCACGCTCTGAAGCAAGACTTTCTACATGATCGTATCTTTTCTGTGAGGACATTTCTAAACTGAACTTAAAATACATATACATGAATTTTCACACTTATACTCATGGTTACTTCTACATATACTAAATGATTCCAATTTTTTTTAATACAAAAAGACTGAAAACACTCAAAGTCTACAGATGTTCCGTTTCAACAAACCCGGTCATAAAAAGAACCACTGTTTTACATATCACTAAGAAAAAAAGTGATAATTACTATCATAGAGGCCACAAGTGACAAATAGACCTTTCAGAGGAGAAAAAATTTTCAAAAGTAACAGGACACCAGAGAACTGAAGTACTAAGCCTCTGACAAAAGCTATTAAGATAGGAAATCTGATGAAAAAATCCATCTTTAATTCAAAATGCTGAGATAATAGATTTTTACCACCGGGAACACAGTGTGGCCTTTGGGAAGGAAACTGATGGGTCACGATATTCTGCTGGATCTGTAATGTTCTTAACAAAACTTTTTTCTCCGTTCAATCATTTTTTTTTAAATGTAGGAGTACTGCTATTTATTCAGCCACTGATTAAACTGATTGAACTGGACATGAACTCCACTTTCCCATTCAATCTTTCTGAATCTGCCTAAATGTTTACTTCTCTACGTACTTGTTCTCTTTATTCCTTCTCTCCACGGGACTTTCGGTCTCCATCCCAGGCCCTGTATCTTTTCCGACTTCATTGGGTATCGCATGTCGTTGGTAGGCCTTGAAAGACAAAACATTAAAAATGGCACTGTGAGTATGGATTTAGGAGTCAAAACACGACGAGAAAGAACAGGTGTCCAACTTTATGATTCTACGTTTTTTCTTTAAGTTTCTTCCTGGGGGAGCCCAGAGATAGGGCAGCGGGTAAGGCACTTGTCTGGTGCGCTGCTGACCTGGATTCCATCTCTGGCAGTTCATATGGTCCTCTGAGCCCCACGAGGAGAGACCACTGGGCGCATAGCCAGGACGAAGCCCTGAGCACTGGTGGGTGTGGCCCCCAAACACAAACCAACAATAACAGAAAGGGTCTCTTCTGGAGGGGCAGGGGCTAGAGTGTTCTTCGCAGGTGGGAGGGCTGGGTTCTATTCCCAACACCACATGGTCCCCTGAGCACTGCCAGTAGTGACTCCTGAGCACCGTATCATGACCTCGTGATACTGCCACATGTGGCTCTCCAGAAAAATTTTTTTTTTAAAAAAAAAGGAGGGGGGCTGGAGAGATAGCACAGAGGGTGGGGCATTTGCCTTGCACACGGCCGACCCGGGTTTGATTCCCAGAATCCCATATTGTTCCCTGCACCGCCACGAGTAACTCCTGAGTGCAGAACCAGGAGTAAACCCTGTGCATTGCCGGGTGTGACACAAAAAGCAAAAAAAAAAAAAAAAAAAGAGAGACAGAGAGAGGGGCTAGAGACATATAGTACAGCGGGTAAGGCATTTGCCTTGCACATGGCTGACCCGGGTTTGATTCCCAGCATCCCATACGGACCTTTGAGCACCGCCAGGAGTAATCCTGAGTGCAGAGCCAGGAATAACCCCTTGTGCATTGCCAGGTGTAACCCAAAGAGTGGAAAAAAAAGAGAAAATCTTTTTCATAAAAAAGTGAAATTACTTTTACTTTATATTTCTTTATATTATTAAATATACAATGTAAAAAATATATATATATAATGTATAGTAATGTATATTCTAAAATCATCTGTACTCCTGGATTCCGAACCCTCTGTGGCTAATCCTTTCCTTATTTCAGTCTGGGTATCAGTACAGTGCCTTGTACCTGAATATTTGATGAGGAATAGCCCCCAATAGACATAAACCTATTAAACAGGACTCTTTTGTTCCATCATCAGGCACTTTATATACATTATGAATAAACATTAAAAGGATTGGTAACAAAAAAGCCTCATGAAAAGAGTCAAGAGATTTCTTTTCAGGGCTGGAGCAATAGTACAGTGGGTAGGGCGTTTGCCTTGCACGCGGCCAACCTGGGTTCAATTCTCAGCATCCCATATGGTCCCCTGAGCACTGCCAGGGATAATTCCTGAGTGCAGAGCCAGGAGTAACCCCTGTGCATGGCCGGGTGTGACCCAAAAAGCCAAAAAAGAAAAAAAAGAGATTTCTTTTCAATCACATTCCAATTAAGTACTAATTGTACAATTTGTTCTTAAATACAATTAGGAAAAAGATTTTTAGCAACAAACCCAAGAAAACTATATATTTCATAATTTTATAAGCTCCAAAACCGTACAACCTCAATCTCAATCCCGAGTTCTGTCACTCACCTGTCATTAACATAATCAACCCAGCTCTCCATTTCAGACTCTGAACTGGTCTCTTTGATCTGTTAAAATGGAGAAGACTTTAAAGTCAAGCTATAAACTAAACCAGACACTTAACAATGGCACTTAACAGCTCACTCAAAGACAGGGAAAATGAAGTCAGGGAGACACTTTAAGCCACTGGCTCTTTTAGATCAACTTCCTGTGCTTTATAACCTAGAATCTGTCTGAAGTTCAGAATACATTTTTCACAAACTATGGGAGAAAATTAAAATTTGGGCACTTCTGATTATTACTGTGATAATGTGATCTGGAAAAAAGAAATAGATACACACACATACACACACACACACATATATGTGTGTATATATATATATACTTTTGTGATATAAAACACAAGTAAACAATAATAAGACAGTTACATTCACTTGAAGTCCTAGATAGTCTTAGAATCAGCAACTTTAAGGGAAATGATGTCTATTGAAAGTCAGACCTTGAATAAAATCCCCTCATTCGAAGTTGGGGGCCGAAGAGTTAGCTCAATGGGCTGGGCACACAGCTTTGTATGCAGAAGGCCCAGCTTTGCTCCCTGGCACTGCACAGTCCCTGAGCACTGTCAGGAGTTACTCCCTGAAAGCATTAAGAATAGAGACCAGTTGCCAAGGAAACCAACCATGTGACTAGAGGGAGGGAACTCAGGCCATCAGCCCCCACCAAGGGGAGAGGGAGAAGAGCTGGGGGTTGAACCAACCATCAATGGACAATGGCTTAATCCAACAATCATACATCTATGATGAAATGCCCATTAAAAATACCCAAAGGTGGGGTTTCAGGAGCTCAGGGCAGTGCTGGCAGGACTACAGCTCACCACAGCCCTTCCCCTCGCCATTTCTCGCCCAATGGTCCCCTCCTCCCCCAATAGGTGTTCCTGTGCGGACCCTTTATAACAGAGCCATCACTGAGTAAATGAACTGCCTTCCTAAGACTTGGAGCCAGCCTTAGTGGAGGAAAGCCTGGGCGAGAAACATGTCTTGCTATGGGGCCTAACAGTGACATCCCCCGGAGGAGAATGTTGGAGCCCATTTAAGTGGCATAACACCCAGCTAGAGTCTGAGAATTGCTGGGGACAGAAGGCTGTGCATGCAGCAGAGAGCCCTGTAACAGGAGGTTGACAGGCAAACTTTCCCAGTGCCCCATCCTCCCTCAGAACTGAATCCTGAGGTTTCTAACTGATGTTTACTCATATGCAGTGACACATAACTACTTCGATCTCACTGTTTCTTAGTTTCAGGACAAACTATTTTTTTGTGGGATAGGACCACACTCTGGGGTACTGGGGGTGGGGGACCCTGGGATGAAGCCCTTCAAGCTAGCTCCCCAGAACAAATGGGGCTTTTTTTGGTGTGCTTCTGACATTGAAGTAGGCGTTATAATGGGTCTATACTTCAGTGTACTTTTATTTTCTGAAAACTTGTCAGTCTACAACTTCAAGTTAATGACACATCAGCATCCATGTGGCCTATGAAACTATGAATTTAATGTTTCACTGTTCATGTCAAGTTGGGCGAATTGCACATTGTTGATCTGGGGACGATTCGGAAAATCACCACCCTTGTATAATACTTACCAGGTGTATTAATTCTTTGGCAAGTTGGATAACTGACATTTCAAAATTGGTTCCAATGTTATAAATTTCACCTGGTTTCCCCTTTTTAAGGACAGTGAGAAATGCTTCTACAACATCAGCAGCATAGAGGAAATTCCTTGTTTGAAGCCCAGATCCATGAATGCAGCTATAAAAAAGAAAAAAAGGACAAAAGGGAGGGCCAAAGGGTAGAATGGCAAGCGCCTTCAAACCGGAGCATGCTAATGATGGCGGTTTTCAAGGAGGCCTCAGAAAGCTTTGACTGAAAACACAAATTCTCAGGACTCTCCCAAGATCTTAAATGATCTCCAAATTCCCCAAAGGTTTTCAGTAAGAAAGATGAAAGCACATAAGTAGTTCCTAAAACATATTTATCCAAGTTTATACCTTAAACTCACTATAAGGAATATTCACAGTTCTGTGAATTAAGTAAATCCTTAAAAAAGTCAAATTAATAGGTAATAAATTATTCTACTGATCTAACTCAAAGTTCTAATATAGATAATTAAATATCTGAAATTCACGATCACACGATCACAATCATCCTGCTGTTCATCGATTGTCTCGAGCAGGCACCAGTATCGTCTCCTTCTGAGATTTTAAAAGAGCCATTTCAATGCTCTTTCAGGATTAGGAGGATGAGACCCATCATTGTTACTGGTATTTGGCATACTGAGTACAACACGGGAAGTTTGCCAGACTCTGCCGTGCGGAATATGTGAAATTAGCTTATTAAACTGTAAAAATGAATTGCAGCTATTTAAAACACTTTATATTGATAAAGGAATTTTACTCTACAGCCACCAATTCTAGGTTACTACGATTTTCAAGAAAGATTATAAGCAAATACAATCAACATACCAGGAAAACATATGAGGGCAAAGGTAAAAAAAAAAAACATACCATTTCCTGTTGTGTTGCAGTAAAGATATAAACTTCGGAATGACCTAAAAGAATATGCAAATATCATTTTAGTCTGGACATCTACTCACTAATATGGATCTGGATGTGTCATAAAAATTAGGATTAAAATATCCGAAAGTCAAAAAACATACACATATAGGTACATTCTAATTCTTTATCAGGGGTTCAAGGAAAAAAATCTCTGATCGTTTTGAGAAGTAAAAGAACTCGAAGACCACTTCCTCAAGGGGAAAAAGACCAGTCCCCTGCCAGAGAAAGAGCGAAACGAAACAACATGGCAAAGAAGAGTCTGTGCAAATGGTTGGTTCTCAGCCTAACTTGCACTTTAGAGTTGACTTTGTTGGTTTTCACAAGGATAGGAATCGTATCTTAACACTTTAAACAAAGCACCTGCTCAATAAACTAAAGAAAGTAATCCTTTCCTGAGGCTAGACTAATAGCACAGCGGGCAGGGCATTTGTTTTGCATGAGGCCGACCTGAGTTCGATTCCCAGCATCCCATATGATCCCCCGAGCACTGCCAGGAGAAATTCCTGATTGCAGAGCCAGGAGTAAGTAACCCCTGTGCATCGTCGGGTGTGACCCAAAAAGCAAAAAAATAATAATAATAATAATAATTATTATTTCTTTACAGGCCCTTGGATCCAAAAGACTGTTCACAGTAAACTGGATATGTGTGTGTGTATGTATATATGTACATGTTTTTTTAATTAATAAATTTATAATAAACCTACTAACAATATTTCAAAACTTAAGCCAAGAAGCTAATTTTGTGAGCATATCACGTGGCCCCTTCCCATGGGGCAAACAGACTTCAGCTCGGCTGGAAAGTGAGAAGTCCAAGACAGAATCAACAGCCACTGCAAGTGGCATGGGTGACACTTTCAGCCTTTCAGCAACACTGTTAACTCGCTATTTTCCTACTTTCTGGAAAACATTCAGGCTTCGCAACTGTCTGAAGGAGCTGGGGGAACAGTTTTGCCAGCAGCAACTCATGGACAGGCTTCCTGCATAGCCAGCAGTACCGCCGGCAAACCAGGCATCTGAACTGAAGGGGGGTGGGGGCGAGGGGAACCCACACTAGGCTCTGTGCCCTGGGCAGGGCATCTCCGGGAGGTTCATCTGTTGGATCCTACCGGGAGGTTCATCTGTTGGATCCTACCTACCAAGGTAGGTCTCTCTGTCTCTCTGTCTCTCGGTCTCTCTGTCTCTCTCTCTGTCTCTGTCTCTCTCTCTGTCTCTCTCTCTCTCTCTCTCTCTCTCCACCAAAAAAATTGTTATTGACAAATTGCTTTGAAGACAGACTGTTTTTAAGAAGCAAAATGTTCGTGGTCATTAAAGCACAGGATGAATTCAGACAAAGCAAAATGTACCTTCTCTGGATACTGATGAGGTCCATACACATTACTGCTCCTTGTAATGACAGCTGGAAACTTAAAGGACATTCACCATGAGTACACTGGAAAGGTGCAGTGACAACAACTGTTTCTGGGGGTGAGCTGTCACTGTCACTGTCACCGTCCTCCCGTTGTTCACCGATAGCACTTTTTAAAATATAGGCACTCTGGTGGGTAACCTCACATGCCCGCAGGAGAGAAGCGAAGGGGTTTTGCTTTTTTTTTTTTAAAGATTCCTGAAAAGACAGAGGGTCGGCTCTGGACAAAGAAGGGGTTTGGGGAAGGAAAAGGAGGACCCCCCTGCCCTGCTGGGACAGTGACTGGGGACAGAAGGAGGGAAGTGTGGGAAGCTGGAAACACCTGGTTCTTCAGGTATGCCAGATTTGGTTTGATTCGGATGTGACCCTTCGGGTTGGCTCACTGTTGTCCCAACCCTCTTGAGGAAAGGAGAAGGATCACTGCTTCTGGGTCACAGAGGGCAAGGGAATTTGTCTATTCGGGGGACCATACCCCGAGGGCTCAGGAGTCACTCCCGGCAGTGCTTGAGGAGCCATAGCTGGAGCTGGGGGTGGACCTGGGGTCGGCTGCTTGCAAGGCCAACAATCCGCACACTTCATCTCACTCCTGTCTCTCAGGGCCCAAGAGAACTGTTTCTCCATGGGGATGGTGGTGGGGTGGGGGCTTCCCAAGAGGTCCTCAGGGGACCTGGGGTCCTGTAATACTTGGCCAAGTGGACGAGTGGTTCAGCTCGAGAATGAGAGCTGGGACCCACCAGGCCCAGGGTTTGGGGTCTGTCGGGGTATCTGAAGGCCTCCAGGGTCACAGCTGGTGGTGCTGAGTCATGAATCCGGCCAACCCCAGCAGAGCAGGTGCCCCTGGTCGCGGGGCTCTGTCCCCAGACCGAGGCAAGAGTGCTCCATGCTATTCCTGCCTTTGCCTTTGGTCCTAACTGGGAGAGCGCTGATAGGAAACGCGAGCTGGTGATGCTGCTGGGAAGGGCTCCTGCGCAAAGCGCCGGGGAAGTTGCACAGAGCACGGAGTGGCACTGACTCCCCCAAGGGGCTACTTCCACTGGGGGAGTTGGGCAAAGTGTTGAGTGCCACTTGAAGGGGCATGTCTGAAGGGGAGGCGGGACACACACACACACACACACACACACACACACACACACACACACACACACGAATCACCACCTCCTTCCTGGAAAGCAGGGTTTCCAACAGTACTATCACCCGCACAGGGACATCACCCATTACCCCTATGGGAAAGAATTCCATACAATTCCTCCTCCTCCTCCTCCAAATGCCCAACAGAACCAGAAAGAGCCGTCTCTACTGTGTCCACATGATGGAAAAATTCGAGGCCAGGGCTGCCAGGTACAATCCATGCCTCACCTGAGCAGAGCCCCGGAGTCCACCCTGAACCTGGCCGGGTGTGGCTCCACCAAAACAAAACAAGAAACTCCTCTCCTTTTTTAAACTCCTGACCAGGTGATTCCTCTCCATCTGTGTCTCCAACTGGAAAAACGAAAGGCTGCTAATGCGCCAGAGTCCCAGGCCAGTGCCCCCATGCGCCCTTACCTTGTAGCGCTCCCAGTAGGACTGTACGAATCCTTCAGCGGCTGCCTTCGACGATGCGTAAGGGTTCGTGGGTTGCTTGGGTGAAGACTCATCAAACTCCTAATTTTGAAAAAAAAAGGGCATATTAAAAATAAGAGAGCACTATGGTCACTTTCTAAGCAGAAAAACTAGGAAGCATAACAAACTTGGGAGTGTTTCTCACAACGCTAAAAATCCCTCACTATGTGGGGGGGGGCGGGGCGGGGTTGCTAGAACAATAGCACAGCAGGTAGGGCGTTTGCCTTGCATGCGGCCAAACCAGATTCAATTCCCAGCAATCCCATATGGTCCCCTGAGCACTGCCAAGAGTAATTCCTGAGTGCAGAGCCAGGAGTAACCCCTGAGCATCGCCGGGTGTGACAAAAAAAAGCAAAAGAAACAAAACAACAAAAACCCTCATTACGGAGCCTCAGTCCTGCCGCCCGGCATGTTCTGAACCTTTTACCCTAGAACCAGTTCTTTTTCTGAAATTTATTTTAACTCGTAATTTTTTTTTTTTTTTCCCACTGAATCACCATGATCTGCAGTGAGCTCCAGAGACTCACACTGGAGGGCAGTGGAGAGAGTTCAGAGGTCCTGGGCTGGAGAGAGCACACAGCAGGGAGGGTGCTGGCACTGGATTCCACCTCCAGCATCCTATGTGGTCCTCTGAGCACCACCAGGAGTGATCCCGGAGCACAGAGCCAGGAGTACGCCCTGAGCACTACAGGGTGCTCATCTGAGCTGCTGGCACAGCGGCGAGTCAAACCGTGAGGTGACTGTGCACAGACCCGCCCTTGTTCTGGCCTCCCCGTCTGCTGCTCCGCGCACACTTCCAACCCAGGTCCTTTGTTTTTTGGTTTGGGGACGGCCCAAGGTTTGATCCCCAGCACCGTGTGGTGGTGTCCGGGCTCCGATGCAGAGATAATAAACATGCAAGAAGGAGGAAGTTTCCTGGATAAAAACTGCAGAGACAAAAAAAAAAATAGGGCTGGAGCGATAGCACAGCGGGTAGGGCGTTTGCCTTGCATGCAGCCAACATGGCCAACCCAGGTTCGATTCCCAGCACCCCATATGGTCCCCTGAGCACCACCAGGAGCAATTCCTGAGTGCATGAGCCAGGAGTAATCCCTGGGCATCGCCGGGTGTGACCCAAAAGGCAAAAACAAAAAAAAACTGCAGAGACAAAAACAGCAGCTTCTCAGAGGGGAGAGTAGGAGGAGAAGTGGCTGAGGGTCCAGCTTTTCCCTCGTGTTCTTATGGATGTGTGACGATCTACAGCACTAACAACACTAATGCTAGGTGTTCGGTATTCCAGAACCCTTGCCACCCTCACAGTCCCCATGGGGCCCACTGGGTACCACCTGGTACTGGGGAGCAAACCTCAAGCTCACGCTAGGCTGAGCCGCAGCTTTTTCAGCCCTCTGAGCCTCTCTCCTGCCCCTCTCACCCGAAGACTGTTGGAACTATTGCAGGAGCTCAGCGAACATCCTTGTGTCATTTCCTGAGACTTTTTCAAGAGAAAACTCGGGCTGACTGTGAAAGGACGCAATATCCTCTACTATACCTTGCTTCCCTTCAATCACAGTTCCCTGCGATGTCCTTTACTACACCCTGCTTCCCTCCAATCACAGTTCCCTGGGAATTATCAATGACATTAATCCAAGACTTTATATTTTCCACCTTCTTTTTTGTTCTTGGTCACAATAAGTAACAAAACAGAATGATGGACTGAACTACTATGATTCTATTAGAATGAAATATGAGTCATCTCCTGCACCAAAGAAAAAAAAGTACAATAATGATGCATTAAAAAAAGAGAGAGAGAGAGAGAGAGAGAGAGAGATTCCAGTGTGCCCAGTAAGAGTGGGTTCTGTCTGAGATTTTGGGTGCATTTTCCTATGTGGGAGAGGAAACGGCAAGTGCTAAAAGGTGGGCTCTGGGGCTGGAGCAATAGTGCAGTAGGGAGGGTGTTTACCATGCACACAGCCATCATCCCATAGAGTTCCCGTCATCCCACAGAGTTCCCGGAGCATAGCCAGGAATCACCCAGAGTACCACTGGGTGTGGCCCCCCAAACAAAAACAAAATCAACATATAAAAGGTGAGGTAACCCTTGACCCAAGGGGATGGTGGGCATCAGGTACACAGGCCCACACACCGACATCAGCGGCTCTTTTGCAAAATCTTGGCAGTCAATCCATGTGAATTCGTCCTGAGCCTCCCTCGGCAAGAACAGAAGTGCCCAGAGCCAGAGTCTTTGGAAGACCCCCGGCTCTGGGTACATGAGTGGAGGATGAGGAAGCCCAGGAAGCTTCCATGCTGACCTGATCCAGGCTGCCACCGTAGACTTCATCTGTGCTGACGTAAATAAACTTCTCCACGTTGGCTTCGTGTGCGGCACTGACCAAAACGTGAGTGCCGTGCACGTTCACGTAGGTAAACTCATAGGCGCGGACAAACGAGAGATCTAAGGAAAAAGGAGTGACGGTTAGCAGGGCTCCCTCCAGACAGAGAACATTGGTAGTGGAAAATGGGCACTGGTGGAGGGATGGGTACTCAACCATTTTATGACTGAAACATAAGCACGAAAAGTCTGTAAGTCTGTAACTGTACCTCACAGTGATTCACTAATAAAAAAACAACAACTGTAACCTAAGATAACACTTACCTACATGTGTTTGTGCAGCAAAATGCAGCACTATATCTATCTTCTCTGTTTTAAAAAGCTGTTTCACAAAGTGAGAATCACATATGTCACCCTGTAGAAAATGGCAGATATTAAAACAAAATAAAAACTAGGTTTCACTGCACACTCTCATTCTTAATGACCATTTTACATATGAACAAAAAACAAGCCAAAATAATACCCCCACCCAGGTTTCAAGAGAACATTATGAAAAGTCAACCAAGTGGTCAAGTACAGATGATGTGTTTCACATTCATTTAAAAAAAATCTTTCTATTTTTTTTGCAATTGTCTGGGCTGGAGCGATAGCACAGCAATAAGGCATTTGCCTTGCACGCAGTCAGGCTGACTGAGCCAGGTTCGATTCCTCCGCCCCTCTCGGAGAGCCCGGCAAGCTACCGAGAGTACCTCGCCCGCACGGCAAAGCCTGGCAAGCTACCCGTGATTTATTCAATATGCCAAAAACAGTAACAAGAAGTCTCAAAATGGAGACTTACTGGGCCCGCTCGAGCAAAATCAAAGAACAACAGGAGGGCAGTGTTTGTTTTTGTTTGTTTGCAACTGTCTAAAATTTTAGGTCCAGGGAGATAGCGCAACAGGCAGAGTGTCTACTGTGTATGCAAGAGCCTTGAGTGTGACCCATGACCTGCATGGACCCCAACCATCACAAGTCATGGGCCCTCCCCCTGCAAAGAAACAAAATATTTCATGAGTGCTGAATCGTATGAAGTACTGGATTAATATTTTCTATAACATTCTTCCCAACCTAAGGTCACTATACTAACAAAAAATATTTACGTAGATGTTTAAAAGACTGGATAACCATTGCTCAAATATATCTTTAATAAGAGCAATAACTGGAATCACATCTGAAAATCCTATTTTGTCATAAGCACCAAAAAGACTCAGGTGAACTTCCGATGGGACACATATATTTAATTATTAAAAATACTGATTTTCAACAGTTCTTCAGTAACTAAAGAAATCACATTCAGGGGCTGGAGTGATAGTCTAGTGGGGAGGGCACTTGCCCTGCACGTGGCCGACCCAGCTTCGAATTCTGATGCTCTACTGACTGAGCTATCCAGGCTCTCACCCAGCTTCGATTCTGGTATCCCCTATGGACCCCCAAGGCCTGCCTAGAGTAAGTCTCAAGTACTTCTGGGTGTGCCCCACCCCACCCTCCAAAAAAAATCACTTGTGTAAGGAAAATAATCATTAAACTATCTCCTAATATCTCCTTTAAAATTCAAAAAAATATGAGATTACTTAAAAAAAAAAAGTAAGCAGAAGAGAGTTTCCTTTGCCATTAAAACTTCCCGGCATAAATTAATGACCTGGATCTCTGGTTCATACTCTGGTTTTCGGGTTTTTTGGTTTTGTTTTTTGGGCTGCACCTGGTGGGGCTTAGGACTTACTCCTGGCTCCGCACTCAGGGATCACTCCTGGTAGGCCCTTGGGACCCTAGGGGGTGCCAGGGATTGAACCTGGGTCGGCTGTGTGCAGGCTGTGTGCTCTACCCACTGCACTATTGCCCTGGCCCTCGCCTGGTTTGTACTCTGGAGTCTCCCAAGGGCAGCTACCAGAGTCAGTCCACCTGGCATCACAGGAAAGACCTCCCAAGACCATAACAGTGGCTCTTAGGATGCTGGCTGGCCCTTCTGAGTAAGACCTAACTTGACAGCCACCTCTACATTACAGCAAGGCCCTAGTCAAGAGACTAGTGAGACCTGTAGCACTGTAGCACTGTCCTCCCGTTGTTCATAGATTTGCTCAAGCAGGCCCAGTAACATCTCCATTGTGAGATTGTTATTACTGTGTTTGGCATATTGAATATGTCATGGGTAGCTTGCCAGGCTTTGCTGTGTGGGCAAGATACTCTCGGTAGCTTGCCAGGCGCTCCGAGAGGGGTGGAGGAATCGAACCTGGCTCGGCTGGCCAGCTGTGTGCAAGGCAAATGTCCTACCGCTGTACTATCGCTCCAGCCCAGTGAGACCTAAACTTAAAAAAAAAAAAATCACAGCCAAACCATGCCACCAGACCCCATGCCAGGCTGTTTCCTTCGGGGCACCCCGGAGTGTGTATTTGGCGGGGGGTGAGATCCCTCTCCACCCCAAGGACCCAACCCCAGCAGCTGAAAACCTCCAGAACTCAACCACCACCCTGCTCAAGGCTACTTTCCACATGCTTGGGCCGAGCCTCACCCATGAGTGAATCTGTAGAAAATCCAGGTATGCAGGACTTGTGACTGAAAACTCTGGGTTCAATAGAACCGGGAATGGGGACTTTAAAGTATCTCAATAGGCATTCTGATTACACACGAGAACACTTAAAGAGTTTACTTCTTATATCTTAAGAAGTTTCTGATATTTTGGGGGCCAGAGCGATAGAACAGCCATTAAACTTAATGGCCCCTGAGTAAAATACAACAATCTTCACGCACTGTCCTCTAAGGAAACTTCAACTTCAGCAGTTTATCATAACATACAAAATAAATTATTTTGGGTCTGCTTTGGGGCAGGGGTTTGGGTTTGGGAAGGAAACCCCTGAAATATGGTGATGGGAAGGTGTAATGGTGGTAGAATTGGTGTTCGAATATTGAATGTAATCAAATATTGTGAACCACTTTATAAAAATAAAATTTAAAAAAAAAAATCACAAAACTTCAGTCACGTATAGATTTGCTGCCAAGGCACCAAAAACCACAGGTTTGGAAGAAGTATTTTTACAGCACACTGTGCTTGTGGTGACAGGCCTTTAATTCACAGGCTTTCAAAGCTCATATGATCCAAGTTTGTAAAGTGGCAGCCACATGTCTAAAGGACAAAAGAGATATGGTCTGACAGTTACAGATGACAAGGAAACCTTCCTACCTGTATAAATTTGTAGTTTCGTTGGGTAGAAATGGTCTCGAGATTCTTCAAGCTTGCACAGTAGTCCAACTTTCAATAAGAAATTGTTGAGGAGTAGGGAGTGGGAGAAACACATTTCCACAAGTTCATTAGACACATACTGTTTTTCCTGTGCATTATCAATTGATTTGAAGGTATCTCGATAGGCATTCTGACTGCACACGAGAACATTTAAAGAGTTTGCTTCTTATATCTTAAGAAGTTTCTGATATTTTTGGAGCCAGAGCGATAGTACAGTGGATAGGGTCTTTGCCTTGCACGTAGCCAACCCGAGTTCAATCCCCAGTGTCCCATATGGTCTCCCAATCACCGCCAGGAGTAACTCCTGAGTGCAGAGCCAGGAGTAACCCCTGAGCACTGGGTGTGACCCAAAAAGAAAAAAAAATAAGTTTCTGAAATTTTCAAAGTAAAATCAAAACAAAATAAAAACCCCAAAAAAAGTCATTTTACCTATCAAAATATGAAAACACATAAAATCCTCTTTATTAATTTTTGGGTTTTTTTTTTACATACATCACAAGGTGCCTAGGGCTCATTCCTAATGGTGCTCACAAAACCCTCTGTTTTAATAATATCTTTTCAGATATTCTGCCACCCACATTTGCCTAGAGCTCCAGTGGCTAGAAAAGGTTCCCATTTGTCACTGGCAGGAATTGGTGATCAGCCCTGGGCAACCATCTTCTTGACGTATGCGGTCAGTTTTCTGAGTTACTGCTGCTACATGATGGTAAGACAAGCAAGACTTTCTAAGACATTTTGCCCATATATTTTCATATATTTTCACGTATATTTTATAAAATTAACATCATTTTTATCTGTACTTATTATTAATTTTGGTTTGGGAGCACATCTGGAGGCCACCCCTAGCTCAATGCTAACTTCTTGGCTGTGATCAGAGGACCATTATGCAGTGCTCGGATTAAAGCCAAGTCTTGTGCTTGCAAACCATACACTCCAGCATGCTGAGTTATCTCTCCAGCTCTGCACTAATGTTTAAAGAAAAAAAAAAGAACTGGCTGATCCAATCCTGGCTTCCAAACTCTCTTTGAGAACTTCTAAATAATTCTCAAAGCTAATTTACCTGTAATTTATTTAAAAAACATTTTCAGCACCAGAGTGATAGTATAGCAAGGAGGGTGTTTGCCTTGCACATGGCAAACCCAGGTTCAATCCCTGGCACCCCACATGGTCTCCAAGCCCTCCAGAAGTGATCCCTGAGTGCAGAACCAGAAGTAAGCCCTAAACACAGCCAGAGTTAATATTCATTTTCATATTATATATTATATGATACATCATACTATATATTATATATATATATATATATATATAAAATACCTCAAATAAGGCCTGGAGCAATAGCACAGCAGGTAGGGCGTTTGCCTTGCACACAGCCAACATGACTGACCCGAGTTTGATTCCTCCACCCCTCTCGGAGAGCCCGGCAAGCTACCGAGAGTATCTCGCCCGCACGGCAAAGCCTGGCAAGCTACCCGTGACGTATTCGATATGCCAAACACAGTAACAACAAAGCCTCACAATGGAGACATTACTGGGCCCATTCAAGAAAATCGATGAACAACGAACGGGAGGACAGTGACAGTGACAGTGACCTCAAATAAAAAAAATGTTTTCTAGCAATTAGAAGTTACAGAATCAAATAATAATACCAAATCAAGTATCTAAACTCCAAAAAGGTGGGGAGTTGCCCAGGGGTCACTCCAGCAGGAGTGCCAGAGGCAGGAGCAAGAATTAGACCAGAGCTGGCCACAAGCAAGGTTAGCACCCAAGAGCTTTCTCCAGCCTTGAACTCGAAAACTTTCATTAACATGATTACACTGTCTATAACTGAAACCCAAGCACAAAAATTTGTAGGTCTACAACTATACGTCATGGTGTCTCACTAATAAAAAAAGAATTGGAGATACATCCATTTGTTGTGTGTATTTATAAAAAAAAAACATAATTACACTATCTATTGAACTTAATAAAGACAACTATTTTTTTCTTTTTGGTAAAAATACTGCACTTAAACACTTTATTTTAGAGGTTAGAGATTTGACTCAATCTTAGAATTTATGCTCACATGCGTAATATAATCCACAAATTTGCTTTATGGGCTACTATAATAAAGTTTCAATGACTTTCTGTGAGATTATATATAACACAACCCCAAGGTTATATCAACTCTTAAGCTGTTAAAATGACTTTGAAAGTCCTACAATTGCAATGTGACAAAATTACACTTTTTTTTTAAATGTACCTAAGTTCCAAAACTCACCTTGTCTAGATTTATGATCATATAATTGGGATAATTTTCCACTAAAGAGACAATCACATGTGATGCACTGTAGGGAGAAAAAAAAAAAGTATATCTGGTTAGGTCACTTAAACTTTTTCTCTAAATATTTCCCTCAGCTGTCAGGTATTCAGCTAATAATCTAAGTTACTGTTACATTCTTGGAAGTCACAGAAATAATCTAAATATGCTGAACAGTTTCCCACAGTTTTCATTTACCTTCTAAGAAGTATGATTTACAAATGCTTGCATTAGAGCAGATTGTCTGCTAATCCTGGGTATAAGAAAAAAAAAAAAACAGAGCATCAAATGCTGCCAAAGGCCACATTCCACTAAGACTGCTGTAAAGGAGGATCTGCATAAGAAGGGGTGGTGGGTCGAAGTAATGCAGACTTGGGGACTATAGGGGGAAAAACGTGAATATTGTTAATCTGAGTAGTCTGTTGTCTATGTGAACGGTAACTCTACCACAATCCCCAACTCCTGGCACAAGAACTGAGGGTCGACACCAACACTGCCAGGAGAGCCCTCATAACCAAAGCAGCTAAATCCTGGGCTGGGGAGTTCATGTTTTAGAGGTGTCTGAAACAAGCCAAAACCCATTTCAGTGGGATGATCCAGCAGATGTTAGAAACAAAACGGTGGAGACCCAGGAACCAGGGCAGCGCCTGGCTGCATTAATTCAGTTTGCCCACAGCACCCAAAAGGAGAGAGAGAACAAAAGGGAATGCCCTGCCAAGGGGGGGCGAGGCGATACTGGGATCCGTGGTGGTGGAAAATGGTCACTGGTGGAGAGATGGGTACTTGATCATTGTACAACTGAAGCCCAAGCACAAAAACTTGTAAGTCTACAACTGTACCTCATGGTGTTTCACTAATAAAAATTTAAAAAAAAAAAGAATTCAGTATGGTGGAGCAATAGTACAGTGGGTAGGGTGTTTGCCTTGCACACAGTTCCCCGGGTTCAATTCCCAGCATCCCATATGATGCCCCAAGCACTGCCAAGAGTAATTCCTGAGTGCAGAGCCAGGGGGAACTCCTGTGCATCGCTGATGTCACCCAAAAAGCACTTCCCCCTCAAAAAAAAAATTCAGTTTGCAACGGACAGGCTTCTCATACATAGCACTACACCCTTCCTGGACCAGCATCACCGCCTTATAATATCCACGTTCCTCTTCTCACTTCATGACCCGGTGGGATTAAGGGGTGACTTAATGTGCCGATGGACAAAAGGTGGGGGAAAAACTCCCAATGACAACAGATTTTCATATTCCTCCTTCCACTAGACCCTGGAAGAACTTCCAGTTAGTAACTCCGACACTGGTCCCAATTACTGGACCGCCTCAGCCAGGCGTCCTTCTGGGAACTGAGTGAGCAAGAGTCTCTACCCTCAACCCAGTTGACCTATTAGGTGAGGGAAAGCCAGTCACAAGCCAGGAAAAGCACAAACACAACTTCAGGTGTGACATGGGAGTGGTGAATCAGGAGTCAAGTGACTTGAGCCACGCTAGCTCCCTGTAAAGGAACAGGAAGCTTGAGCCCAGGGATCAGGGCGGGAGGTTTGAGAGATGAAGCGTGGCAGGCCCAGGAAAGTAAGAGGGTGGGATGGCAGGGCAACCTGCGACCTGAGTAGGGCTGGTAAGGACGTGGATGCTAAGTCCAACCGGAAATCAGCTGCATGCAGATTCACTTAAAAAAGCATCAGACTCTCGGGGACCCAGAGTCCCATCAGGACGCTCGCTGCAGGGGCAGTCTGGGAAACGGAGGCAAGAGGCGATCACACGCTTTGGGCACCCACATGCAAGTCAGCCGCTAATCTGGGGTGGGGGTGGGGGGATAAGACTAGGAGTGGGGGAGGGGCGTGAGCAGTTTACAGCAAGGAGCACGCCCCCGGGAAGAGAGCCAGGTGCCTCTGAGCCAGGTAGGGGGCGGAGGGCGACCCGGGAGGTAGGAGGCGAGCAGGTAGGGGGAGGCCCTTCGTACATTCACAACCTCCCCCGATCTGCCCACCCTCACCCCCGAAACAGGTCCCCGGTAGCCAAGGGCGGTGGGGGGAAGCAAAGGAAAGAGCTAGGGTTTCTGGGGGGGGGGGGGGGGGGGGGGGACGCAGTTACCTACATGAAACCAGCACCCCCGGTGACCAGGACCCGTTTGGCAAAGCAGTTAGAAGGATGCGGGGTCTCTGCCTGGTCCGCAGCCGACATCTCCCAGCTCTGCAGTACCCGGTGTCGTAAAGCGCCGAGGCGGTAACTCGGAGGCAACTCCCACAGCGACTTTTTTGCTACGCCCCCGACACGTTAAAGGGACTGTCGGGGGCAGCTTCCGGCACTGGGCTTCCCTGGCCCCGCCCACCAGCTGAGTGGGCGGGGACTCCGGGAGCAAGACCACGCCTACTACGCGCGCGCAGGCGCAGTTCTTCTCCGCGCTTGCCGGGCGGACCTGGAAATTTGGAGGCGGCTAGAAAAGTTGGGTAGGAACTCTCAGGTCTTCCCTGTCTGGCTTAGGCTTTCCTTAGATATACGGCTGAGTTAGGAATTATTTCCGTTGTTGGTCTACAGCGACTTCTACAGAAGTATTCGCGGTGCAGCTGAGAGTTCCCTTGCAAAGGAATGACAGTTGGGAGTTGCAGGAGTTTGCCATTTATGTTAGTATGAACACTACTTGAAAGTCCCTGTGAAGCGCTTTCCTTGATCCTGCAATTTGTAATAAAGAACATTGAAGAAAAACACGTGCTCATTATAATATTGTGTATTAATAATGAAAAACACTGCACTCTGTCTAAAAGTATTGTCTCGCTTTTAAAATATAATGTTGCTGATACCTTTTCAGTATTCAGTACCTGTAATGCAAACCATAATGCCCAAAAGAAGAGAGGGTGAGAGAGTGAGAGAGAGAGAGAGAGAGAGAGGAAAAGTGTCTACCATAGAGGCAGGCTGGGTGGGGTGGCTGAAGGGAAACAGAAGACACAGATGGTGGGAAATGTACACTGGTGAAGGGACCAGTGTTGGAACATTGTATGACTGAATCATGAACAACCTTGTAACTCTGTATCTCATGGTGCTTCAATACAAATAAATAAAAATAAAATAAAATGTAAATGTAAAATATAAAAATAAATAAAATATAACAGCCTTTAAAACAATGTTCTGGGAACTAGAGTGACAGCCTAGCAGGTACGGTGCTTCCCTTGCATGTGGCTGGCCTGGGTTCAATACCCTGCACCTCCATATGGTCCTCTGAGGCCACCAGTAGTGATCCCTTCTGTCAGAGCACAGTGTGGCCCAATAAATAAATTAAATTAATAAATACAATGTTCTGACTTCCCCTCTCAAGCTCTTGTTCTCTCTTGAACACATCTCTCAATTGGCTTGTTCTCTCAAGCCCCTGCTCTCCATTGAATGAGAATTTTCTTGCTTGTTCCCCCCCCCCATACACACACACACACACACACACACACACACTCAATAAGCCAGTGTTTGCTCTCAAATACGGATTTTCTCTTTCTCTCCCCCCCCCCCCCATCTTTCTATGTTAATTTCATACAGAAAAACTGTTGATGCAGATGATGCTGGAGCGCTGACGGCAGGTCTCTGTTCATTTCCGATTCCAAGGGTTTTTTTTAACATTTTCAAGAAAGAAAATCTTGAGTAATAAAGATGCTCAGACTTAGAGTTATTGAAAAGTAGAAAAGTTTATTGGAAAGTAGAAGAGAAAAATAAAGGAACTCTCTATGTGGAAAGAAACATAGTATAGGACCAAGTTAAAAGGAAGAGTTTTGTGTCGGTCTTTTTTAAAGACTCTTTGCATTTCTTATTAATCTGCAAGGATTACAGAGAATTCAGGGAATCTACAGGGTAGTCTGGCTGATTTGAGTCTTTCAGGTGATCTGCCTCAGGTCTGTTATCGTAGTCTGTTATCTTAGTCTCTCTGTGAGCCTAGACTCTGGGACAGAATTTTATGATGGAATTGTTAACTCCCTGTTTATCAGAAAAACTCAGGAATTTTCAGGAGGTCAAAAATGTAGGTTAAGCCAGGCAAAAGCAGGACTGCTCCCTACAGCTGGCAAGGGTAAACTTAGGCTTCTTTCACTATCTTGCTTCACTAAGTAATAGTCATATTCTGGCTCATTCTTCACCCTGGAGATTCCCCTACATCTCAATCTGAGACATTGTATGCTCTCAGATCTTTCTCTCCTCTGCTTTTATATTTCTCTAAGAAATTTTTTTCACTTAAAACTATTTTATTTCAGTAAAAAAACAAATAAAAATATGGACCAACACCAAACGGGGCCCAAGATATAGTGTAGTAAAGCTTGATGGCAAATGAAAATGAAATCCATGAATTCATCAAAGACGTTTAAACTTGTGTTTCCATCAAGACAACTAGTCTCACTAGACCACTAGAACAGCCCAAGCTTATAATACAGTAGTACATTCCACTAACTCATTAGACTTCACAGAATACTGTGGTGAGCAATCTAGTCCGGAAGCTAGGGGCATCTGACACAAACCTAGGGACTTGAAGTAGTTTTTCAAATCAAGTCTTTGTAATGAAGGGAAGTATACATTAAACGGGGAAAGGAGATGCTGTGGAAATTGAGTGGTAAGATAAGCAGAAGTATTTCAGCCTGAGGAATTTGCAACAGGCTTCAGGTCCAGAGATGAAAAGTAGGGGAGTCCTTACTGACTCAACGTGGGAAAAGTCAGAATTGGCCATTTAAAAACTCTGATCTAAAGTGTGGCCTGAAAAAAAACAAAAATAAATAAGTAAATAAAGTGTGACCTGTGTTCTAAAGGCACTGGAGAGGCTTATAAGGGAACAGAGTCTGTCAGTTCGTATTTCCCACCGCTTTCTGAAGGACTTCGCGGACTTTGGGAAGCCAATGGGGACAAAAAATTCAGACTGGAGGTAGGTCTTAGGATGGCGATGGGGGTGCCCGGGGCTCCTGACCATCACTAAATTACATTGCGTTCATTGCATTGCATCAGTGCAAGGAGGTAAACGGCTGGAGGGGTCGCTTGTGATTCCCCACTGTCTGGCCTAGTGATGATTAAAGAAATTGAATCCCAGAAGCCTGGGAACCTAGGAGGGAATGATTGTCTGAAAGCCATGCACTGGGTAGCTATACAGCCCAAAGGGCTCAGGCGCGGACTCTTTGCTCCCACCGTGAAGCCCACCGGCCTTCTGCAGCCGCACCTGGCCGGGCCAGGCCGGCGGCGCCACGCATGCGCGCTGGCTCCGCCCGCCGGGAGGGCGGATCTTTTTCCGTAACCCGAAGCAACATCCTCTCGAGTCTCCATCAAAAAAAGGGTGGGCACTAGCCCGCACGCCGGGGCGTGATAGGGCGAGCGTCTCCGCTCTGCCCGCCCCCTGCGGCTCCTGATTGGTGGAGAGCCTGAGCTCGTGGCGGAGCGGCCCGCCTCCTCCCCCCGCCCCCCCCACTCCAGCTGCCGACGTGGGGCCGGCGGCCGCGGGCGGTTGGGAGCCCCGGGTGCGGGTGCGCAGCGGGAGGCGGGCATGGGGGGGCTGCGGCTGCTGGCTGTGGCCCTCACCTGCTGCTGCTGGCCGCCGGGCAGCCAGGGCAAGACCCTGCGGGGCAGCTTCAGCAGCGCCGCGGCCCGCGACGCGCAGGGCCAGAGCATCGGCCTCTTCGAGTTCCACGGTAGGTGCAAGGGGAGGAGGGGTGCCGAGAGGGGTGAAGGCGCGTGGAGGCCACCCCGGAGGGCTGGTGGCTGGACCCCTCGGGGGCCGAGGCCCTGCTCACCTGGACGTCCCCTCTGCACGCCCGGCCGCCCTCCCCGCCCCCCACCCGCCGCTCTCTGCGGTCTTGGGGTACGTTTATTGCCAAGTCCTCTCCCCGTCCCCACTGGACTGTCCCCCACATCCCACACTCCAGCGAGCGGCCCCCCTGGACACCCTCTACACGCACTACACGCGACTGGATCTTGCAGCTAACAGGCCGATTTCTCCGAAGCTCCGCAGATAAATGAATAGGCCGGCAAGCAGCCGGAATCTTTCCAGATCATTCCCCGCAAGAAGCACCAATTGCTCCCTCCCGCATCAGCCCGGGATGAATCAGATCCCCGGAGATGACATGTTGTGATGCCCGGTCCGTTGGGGGGCCCAGGGCTTCCATCTCCAGGGGGGGTTAGTTGTTCAGACCAGCCCAAAGCCCACTGCAGCTGCAGAGAGAGAGAGAGAGAGAGACAGAGAGACAGAGAGAGATTCTCTGAAACCCAAGTTCAACACCTGGATCAGGTCTAGTTGTTTGACCACTCCACCCCAGAGCAGAAATCCGTGTGCATGTGTGTCCACAAGCTTCGTATTCTCTCCGAGCTCTCTTTGAAATCAGAGCTGCATTCAGAAATTCTTTCCCTTCCAGACGCCCCACCCCACTTCAAATCAATATAATACGTCAAGAAATGAATTGGCAGTTTTTGTTTTACGCAGAGTAACTTGAAAGTCTTTAAGTGCACTTCTTGCTACTCTCCATATGTCGGGTACTGGATTCAGATCATCTTTCGCCTTGATGACGTTAGCTTCTACACTCAAGGTTTTCATTTATTTTATTATTATTTACTTTTTTTTTTATTAACGGCTCAGTGATTTACAGAGTCATTCATAGTTGAAATTTCAGGTATCCCGTGTTCCAGCGCCCTCCCATCATTTTCCTCCCTCCACCAATGTCATAGTTTTTAAGCATTTAAGAGATACCAGGTCAGAATACTGTCCTGGAGAGAATTCTGAGACGGTCATAAAAGGAGAAGCTCTTTTGGTGTGGGAAAGGAATTTCAAGTATTGGGAAGGGACAGAATTAGTGTTAAAGAAGGGAACCTGAATTTTTGTATTTGGGGCTGTACCTGGCCATGCAACTCTACAGTCAGGGTTCTGTTGCAGAGGAACACATGAGGTGCCGGGGATCAAACCTGGGTAGACCTCCTATAAGGCAAACGCCCAGTCTGCTGTACTGTTGTTTTGCTTGTTTGTTTTTTGCTTTTTGGGCCACACCCGGCGATGCTCAGGGGTTACTCCTGGCTCTGCACTCGGAGTTACTCCTGGCAGTGCTCGGGGGACCATATGAGATGCTGGGAATCGAACCCAGGTCAGCCACGTGCAAGGCAAATGCCCTACCTGCTGTGCTGTCGCTCCAGCCCCTGTACTGTTGTTTTGGCCCCTGGAACCTGGAGTTCTTTTTTTAATTGAAAGTTTTCAAGATCACCGAGGGAAGGAGATGGCAGTCCATTTTTCAGTCTCTGTGATGGGGACCAGGCCTGCGCTAAGGAAGAAGAAATGATGAAAACAGAGGCTATTACTTCGCAGGTCCCATTTTTCTATTTCTGAAGCAACTGACTGTCACTGTTCTGAGTTATGACAGTGGTAGTCTCCATTGCAGCAGTACGTGACACAGGCTGGCCCCGGACTGGGAAGTTATGGCAGCTGTGATGTGGCTTGACACAGGGCCACCAGCAGACCCAGATAACCTAGATACTTGGTGATGGTCACCTGCAAACCCAGCGGAGGAGCATTCAGGGTTCACACAGTCAGGGGCGGGGCGGGGGGAGGGGGGAGTGACAAGTCTGTCACACACACACACACACGCACACGCACACATTATGTGCGCTTATATAGATACTTTTTTTTCTTTTTGAGTCACCTCCGGCGATACAAAGGGGTTACTCCTGGCTCTGCACTCAGGAATTACTCCTGGAGGTGCTCGGGGGACCATATGGGATGCTGGGAATCGAACCCAGGTCGACCGTGTGCAAGGCAAACGCCCCACCCGCTGTGCTATCACTCCAGCCCCCACGCTTATATAGATTATTAACAATTTTCTGAGTTAGAATTCAGTGTAAGGATACTAAAAATATGTGGAAATAATGAACAGAATGTTCTTTGAGATTATTGGTCATTTGAAGACTTTCTCGTGGATTGTGGCAGACTTAGGCATTCTTTCACACGTATTATAATTTTATTTAAAGTGATTAATCAAGGCGATAATTATAGCAGTGATAAACAGTCCAGATTTTTTTTTTTATTTTTGTTTTTGGGTCTCCCACCCTATAAGGTTCAGGGGTTATTTTTTGGCTCTGCACTCGGGAATTACTCCTGAAGGTGCTCGGGGGCCCATGAGGAATGCGGAGGATTGAACATGGGTCAGATGCTTGCAAGGCAAGTGCCCTCCTGCTCTACTATCTCTCCAGCCTCCTCTTTTTTTGGGGGGCTGGGGATTGTTAATGGTGATAGCATTGGTTTGCATCTTGTGTGTGTTACTGGAATGCTCCTTCGTGCTTCATCCAAAGCAGGTTGGCATACATCCCTGCCACCCTCGTCCACCTCGCCAGTGCCAGATCCCTCGACCACAGAGATTAGAAGAACTTAAAGTGAAAAAGTTGTCCCTGCAGTATTTCTTACTCAGTACCCCTTTGCTTAGAAGCAGCTAACTTTTTCCAGGATCTTAAATGTAGTTGACATGTGTATCACACTCATTCTTAATAGTCTTACAACATTTATTATTCTGAAAGTTCTTTCGTAAAAGTCACAAATACTACACTTTGGGGTTTGGGTGTGTTATTTATTTGGCCTTTTGGGTCACACCCAGCGATGCTCAGGGCTTACTCCTGGTTCTGCACTCAGGAATTACTCCTTGGGGTGCCTGGGAGACCATATGCGATGCTGGGGATCAAACCTGGGGGTGGCGTATAAAAGGCAAACACCCTCCCCGCTGTACTCCAGTCCCACATTCTACCCCCAACATCCTTTAAACGTTTTTTGTTATTAGTCTTACCATTTATTTATTTACAATTTTACATTGTGTTATATTAGAAAACAGAAGAAACCTTGAAGAAAAGTTTCTTCAGGTAGTTTATAGATGGTATAAAAGATCTCTTGAGTGATTGTCAAATCAAGCCAAAAATTCTGTTTCGTTGAAGTTTGAAACACAGCAAAATAACCCCAGTTATCAGCTAAAGAATAAGGAAAGACCATCCACTAATGGGATAGTTAATAGTTAAGTCTCTTGACTTAGTCTAAATGGGATATTTATTCTGTGTCTAGCTAGTTACATATGATTGGGAAAAACCTGCTCTTGGAATTCCCATTTCGGTGGAGGCATGTTAGGTTGCCCTGACATTGAGTCAAGATCCGTGCAAGATTGGGGCTGGAGCCATAGCACAGAGGGTAGGGTGTTTGCCTTGCATGCGGCTGACCCAGGTTCGATTCCCAGCATCCCATATGGTCTACCATCCCAAGCACCACCAGGAGTAATTCCTGAGTTCAAAGCCAGGAGTAATCCATGTGTACCGCTGGCTGTGACCCAAAAAACAAACAACAACAACAACAACAAAGATCTGTGCAAGATCAACTCTAGTCGGTCATTCTTGTTTCTGCGTCCAGGGGACCACGCTCTGCTGTGTGTCAGAATCACAAATATAGCCGGAGCCATCGCAAAAGAAGCTAAGCTCTACCTGTACCAAGCTCAGGAGTGGATAAAGCTGCAGGAAAACAATGACCACTATAGTTGCAGTGAAATATTGTCCAAAGCACAAATAACAAGTGAGTATGTCTTGTTTTTCCTTTGATCATTAGATACATTCTTGCCTCCCCCCTAGCCCCCAACACACACACCCATAGAGTGTTTATATACTAGGATATTTCAAGATAATGGTTGATTATTTTGTCTAGAAGGTTTTAAGTTAACATTTCAGGAAATTAACTTTTTTGCTTGATGAAAAGAAAGAATGCTCCCCCTTTATCATTCAAAACTTGTGGGAGGGGAATTTCACTTGTACTTGATGCATTTTCCTTCCCTTTGACTTCTCCTCCCTTCTCTTTTGTTACTGTAGTTTGGGTTACCTGCACTCTTGGTTATGATGCTTGGTTGTGATCTCAGCGGCTCACCCACTGTAGTTGAGGTGTTTGCCCACATGTGCGTTGGGGTTTGCACCTCAGTTGTGGTGCTCAGGTCCATCTGGCTGTAGGTCCCCTCAGGGTTGCGTTCCTTGGCCATGGTGCTCACACATTTTTTAGTTGTGATGCCCAAATACACCTCTCTGTGGTACTCTAGAGATCAATACTATTGCAACACCAGGGGTTCCAGATAACGGAGCCACCCACCGCATGTGGGTGGCACTGGGAATTGAACTCATGACCTCACACTTGCAAACAAGCTGCTTTTTAGTCAGGGGGGGCTGCTGTCTACAGAATTCATATCAATAAGGCAGTTATTGTTGGATGAATGCCAATCATCACTGAGTGCTTATTACGTATTTGCACTGAACTAAGCACTAAGCATGTTTTACCCCAGTTAGTTGCTGTAGTTCACCCAATTGATAGTATTTTGTGGTGTTACTGGAAAACAAGATCCTGTGGTTTGAGGTTGTCCTAGCATCGGTCCTTGGCAAACCTCTAGGTTTTTGTTCCGGCGAAGTGTTGCCTTTTATTTATTACCCTGCCCCAGTTGCTCGAATCCTGAGGTCTTTGATTCTCATCCCTGCTTTGGGGATTACTCATCCAGACCCACTGGATATTTGTTAGTTGTTGGAACCTTCTGAACTTAAAGCATCTTTGAGGGGAAAAAAAGAAATAGGCATTTCTCCTCTCCCTATTTCCTCTACCACATTCTGCTCATCGGTGCATTTCTGAATCTCCATTTAGTCAGGTAAGAACACTTGGCAGCATGAGCTGTCACCCCAGTGGTGCTGGGGGGCCAGGCGGTACCAGGAATGGAACCGAGACTCCTCGCATGCAAAGCACTCACCCCTCTGAGCTGTGTCTCTGGCCCCAAACATCTGCCGTTTCTGATCACCTGGTCTCCCTGTCTGAAGCGTTCCAGGGCGCCTAGTCAGAAAAAGGATCCGGGAGTGTCCCCAACTCTAGCCACCCACTGTGAGATTGGTTTATCTGTGTGTATTGATGACATGAACATGTGTTGCAGATGTCTGAATGGCTTGATACAGATATCAAAAAGCTTGTTGCATGGACCTGTGTACATCAGGCCTGAATTTCAGGCCTTACCTGGGGAATTCTCGCAGATGCTTATTAATGGTTACCTATTCCTCTTCAATCCAGTTTGTTCATCTAGTCTCTGTCTCTCTGTCTCTGTCTCTCTTCCCTCTCTCTCTCTCTCTCTCTCTCTCTCTTTGGGCCCCCCCTTCCTCCCTCTCTCCCTCTCTCCCTTTCCCCTCCTCATGTTCTTCCTGCCCCTCACTGATCATCCCATCCTGCCCATCTCAGCCCGGTGCTCTGTTTAAGGATTCCTCTCACCAGGTCTACCCCCCACCCCGCCTCTTTGCCTCCTTTACCCTCTTCCACACTCTCATTGGTGTCTAAGTAGCTCTAGAATTCTCCTTTCCCTCCTCTCTACCCTCACTGTGTTCCTCCACGATGCCCTCTCTCTTTTCGTGGACTGTCGTCACTGTCCCCTGCTGCCTGCCGGGCCTCCTCTGTCCCCAGGGTCCTCTGGGGTCAAGGTGCCCTCACTTCCTCCCCTCAGCACTGGGGGCTCGTGGTTTCCTTCTCTCGGGAGGAAGATGGGCCCCTTAGCCTGCTCCTCGGAGCCCACCTGGCCTCCAGCATCCTCAGCCTGAGCCCCATCATCCCCCCCACCAAACACACACAAACTCTTTACTCCCCCAACAGTGTTTCTCCTGCTCTCTCCTCAGTCAGCATGGGTGTTCTTGCTCCCTTCCTGCCCCTAGTTGGCTGTTTTCCCTAGATGACGCTTGCGCTTTTATTGCCCTTGCTTTGCCCCTGGCACTTGTCACAGTTGCCTCTTTACAGTTCCTTTCTTCTGTATAGAAGCCTGTTGTCAGCACAGCAGGTCCTCCGGGTCTCCTCACTCATTCATTCACTCAGCCCTCAAGCTTAGCGCTAGTGCCAAATCAGGGTTGCTCCTGATGTTCTAAGTCCTTCAGGGTTCTTGACAGGAGTAAATTATACCAATCTGAGTATCTGTGAAGTTGCCATTGTGGTAAGTACTATGAGTGTTTGTTACATAGTGCTCCGAGAATTCGCTGCTCCTTGGGGCCGAATTAAGAATTGACTCTTGGGCTGGAGCTTTAGCACAATGGGTAGGGCGTTTGCCTTGCATGCATCCAACCCAGGGTTGCTTCCCAGCATCCCGTATGGTCTCCCAGCATGGCCAGGAGTAACCCTGGTGCATCGCCGGGTGTGACTAAAAAAGAAAAAAAAAAAGAGTTGACTCTTTTGGGGCCAGAGTGGTACAGTAGGTAAGGCACCTAACTCAGGTTAGATCCCTGGCTCCCCCATCTGGCCTCCCAAGCCCTGCCAGGAGTGATTGCTGAGCACACAGCCAGGAGTAAGCTATGAGCTCTGCCAGTGTGGACCCAAAACAAACAAACAAACAAAAGGAAGCATTGACTTTCTGTAGCAAGAATGGTCACTGAACTTAGTGCTCGATTTATGTTTTGGTTGGTAAGTTGTCACACTGTGTGTATTTGACCCCTCGGAGTAGTCCTGTTACTCTGATAAAAATTTTTCCAGCATTATAAAGCACAGAACTGGAGAAACGAGTGTGCTGCCTTTGTATCCTGGGCTGCTGTGTGAGCATATACCATACATACTTGCAAGGAAAGTGTTTTCTGTCAGTTGTGTAGTTGTAGTTTCACCTTAGGACTCACAGAGCTGAAGCATTAATACAGCCGGTAGGGCACTTGCCTAGCATTCGGCCAACCTGGGCTGGTTCCCTGATAGCCCATATAGTCCCCCGTGGTCACTGTATTGCATAGTGTATATACTTGCAGAAACAGCGTGTTCTGTCAGTTTCAGTCTCAGAACTCCCCATTACAGGGCTGGAGCGATAGGACACTTAGCCTGATTTGATCCTGACAGCCTATAGAATTCCCCCAAGCACTGGCAGGATTGATCCCTGAGTGCAGAGCAGAGAGTAACTCCTGAGCATCACCCTCGTGCATCCCCTTACTCTCCCCAAAATAATTTGCATTTACAGGGAGACTGCATAGTGTGATAGAAAGAGCGCTAAAGCAAGACTCATTTTTGGTTCCTTGGAACCAGATTTTGTCATCTTGCAGCCACACCGCTCATTGCACCATGCAGGACCCGGTTGTCTTCGCCGAGGCTTCTTCAGGTCTGGCCATGCTCGGCAGAGGACCTGCCACTGCAGGCAGAAGGGCCCCCACAAAACTTCTTGTTTTTGTTTTTTCCTACTGTTTTCCTTCCTTTCCCTACTCTGTGGTGGGCAGGATTATTCTTTGGAATTACTGGAATGGAAGAGCTCAGGAAAGAGAATTTTTTTTTTCTTTTTGGATCACACCCGGCGATGCACAGGGGTTACTCCTGGCTTTGCACCCAGGAATTGCTCCTGGCGGTACTTGGGGGACCATATGGGATGCTGGGAATTGAACCTGGGCTGGCCATGTGCAAGGCAAATGCCCACTGTGCTATCATTCCAGTGCCAAAAGAGAAATTTTTGGGTCACTGAATATTATGATGAAACCTAAGACCTGAAATAAAATCTCTCCATCTTATAGACATGGATAAACAAAATCCAAATAATTTAATTCAAATTTATTTTTGTTTGGCCATATTTAGTGGTGCTTGGGTGTGCTGCTCCCCACTTCTTGGTGGTGCTCAGGGGACCACGTAGTGTTGGGTGTCACACCTGGGCCTCCTGCCTAGAGAGCAGGAGTCCAGCCCACTGAGCTATCTCTCTGGCCCCCGCCAAATCCAATCTTGAGAAAAATGATTCTCTCTGAACTTTTAAGTATTATCATGTTTTTAGTATATTATTCTTGGGAGCTCTGGTATTGAAACAGACCCATATCCTTGAAGCCATCGCATTGCAGTAGTGCCACATACTTTATAATTATCCCTTCTAGAAATAGTTCTCGTTTCCTGGCCGTTAATGAGACATAGGAATTAATGACCTTTCACTTCCTGGGTAATGAGTTCGTTAGCTTTGCCCGGCTGCTCTGTGAAACCTCACCGCTGCTATGAACTATGAAAAGATATGCAGATTGGAAAAGCCCCGTAGTGTCAAATGTTGCCTGACTTCATTCTCCCAGAATTAACGTTTGAGAAATTATTTTTCAGTCTTCCTTTGTTCTTTTCCAGCAATATCATAAAACAGTTAGTTTTAAAAAAATGATTTAAAAAAAACCCCATTTAAAGCAAGCAAACAAAACATTTAAAAGCACTAAAAATGATGAGTTTATAAAAAAAATTTGCCCTCAGATATAATTTTGTGTGTAAAACATCTTCAGCATTGTCTGTCTCGCTGGCACCCATTCCCTTTTGTACATTAGACTTAGTTTGTAAACCTAGCTGACAGATTAGGTGGATTTTGTACCAGCGTTAGTGTTTGATTATCCCCTCTGTTTTGGATAACAGTACTCATTTCTTTTTATAATATAATTGAGCAGTTAGCCATTCACCACCATTCTCTGCTATTCGAGTTTTGTTAATATTTGAGGTACTAATTACATAGAATGTGCGGGCCGGGCTGTAGTCTTTTGTCTCAACCACAATGAAGACAGTTTTGTCAAGAGCCTTGTTTTCCAGGCTTGCCGGAAAAGGGGCACCGAGACAAAAGCTGCAGGCAAAGTCCCTTCATGCTGCACCCTTTGTTTCTCTGTGATGTACCACATCGGTTAGAAGAAAACATCAGGAAGCAGTGCGGGTGAAAATACAGTGGCTAATTTTTTGGTATTGTTTTAGCTGAAAGAAAAAAGTGCAAGTGATAGAGTAGGAACCGTGCAGGGCCTTCCAGAGATGCGGTCCCAATTACAGAACTGCCAATGGCACATTTCAAAGGCCGCAGTGGATCACTGCGCTGCATTCCTGTTAAGGATCCTCAAGTCTTGGATGGGGGTGTTGGCAGCACTTTCCGGAAGTCGAGCAGAATACATGGCAGTGAGTTGACCTCTGCTGCATATCATCAGTAAAATCATCTTGTGCAGTTGAAGTGCTAATGAGTGAAAATTGCCAGTTGTAAAATCCCAAGTCCTCAAAATTTGAATCTTGAATAGATACGTCTCTCTCCTTTATCAATCAAGCAACCTACAGATAATATTTACCCAACTTGACAAAAATTTATTCTTTATCTTGGGTTTTTGGACTACACCTAGCAGCGGCAGCTATTCTTGGCTCTCTGTTCGGGAGTGTAGCTGGTCTTACTGGGCAGCTGTGTTCGGAGCCAGGAATCAAGTCGGGGTGGGCTGCATGCAAGGGAAAGTAAGTGCCTTCACCCTGCATTCTCTCTCTGGCCCTTCCCAACTCTTTTACAACTGGCATTGTTCAGTCGTATACAACTGTTGAAAGTATAGGACAGCCAACATCTGTCCCCTGGGGCCGGGCCTCCGTCACTGTTGCCTTCACTCGGTGTGAGTGCTGAGCTGGATGGTCATCTCGGCTCCTGTGAGAAAGAACATCCTTTCACCGCACCATGAGCAACCCCAATGAAGGAATGCTTTCAGAATGTCCCACCCAGCTGCCCCTCTCTGCAAATTCCCACACTGACCTCAGAAAGTCATTTATTGATTTGAGAGGATTTTTTGGGTTTTTTTTTTTTTGCGTCACACCCGGCGTTTCACAGGGGTTACTCCTGGCTCATGCACTCAGGAATTACTCCTGGTAGTGCTCAGGGGACCTTATGAGATGCTGGGAATCGAACCCGGGTTGACTGTGTGCAGGGCAAATGCCCTACCCGCTGTGCTATCGCTCCAGCCCCAGGATTTGTTTTATTGTTTTTGTTTCTTTTCCATCAAAATTTTGAATGAGGAGGGAATGAATGAAGAGAGCTCGGCCTGCTTGCAGGAGCAGTCCAGCCTGGGAAGTCATGCCCAGCTTCCTGGCCTTGTGTGTTAAGGGGTGTCTACTCTGTATTGAATCAGACCTGGCCCAGAAATTGTAGACGCCGTCCATTTGCACCCCACGGGAATGCCGAGCAGGGAGGCAGTATCTGGATTTTACTACGAACCGAGCTGTGTTGGGGGAAGTTGAGGCATTTATTTGCCAACTCTCTAGGCTGGTGTGGAGAGAGCCTAGCCCCTGTGCCTGCTTACTTAGTCTGATGTGCTATTTGAGGTCCCTTTGCCCCTGGAAAAGTAGTCAAGACCTGACGGATATCTGCGAAGCTCTGAGTGTTTCTCAAACTGGGTGCTGTTAGCATTTGGGGGCAGAGCAACTCTGTTCTCCAGTCTAGGAGACTCACCCTTGCAATACATGAGGTGAGACATCCTGTCCTGTCTGCTCAGCTTTTATTGATTGTGTGTGTGTGTGTGTGTGTGTGTGTGTGTGTGTGTGTGTGTGTATGCGTGCCATACCAGTTGGTCTTCATGTTTCTGTTCTCTGGGATCATTCAGGATTGGCTGAGTGCAAGGCAAGTATCCTATCTCTCTGGTCCCCTACCCTTAACTTCCTTGACCACACAGCCGAACCCTCACTTTGTCTGATGGCTGGTATGGGGAGTAGGATTCGCTTGGACTGAGAATCCCCTGGTGTATTGACTTTGTTTTTGAAGAAAGCAGAAGGAGGGGCCAGAACGAGATAGTACAGCGAGTAGGGCGTGTTTGCCTTGCATGCAGCCAACCCAGATTCGATCCCCAGCATCCCATATGGTCCTGTAATCACCGCCAGGATTAATTCCTGAGTGCAGAGCCAGGAGAAACCCCTGGACATTGCTGGTGTGACCCAAAAACCAAAAAAAGAGAAAAGAAAAGAAAGCAGAAGGAGCATGACCCTTTATCCAGCAGCCTCCTCCAGACAGATCCTGGGCAGCTGGTGTTACTCACGTCTCACCCTTCTCTTCTTTAGGGATCATCTTCCTTTTGTAGAGGAAGAAAGGGAGTGTCCTCACTTAGGTCATTTGTCCAAGGGTGCACCGAGGCTGAGAACTGCAGCCCAGATTTAATCACAGACCTGTGGGAGCCTCTTCACCCCCATCTCTTTTCTGCTGCAGGTCTGACCCAGTGAAAGAATTCTTAGATCACCTGTCATTTCTCTTTTTATACTCTTTTGTACCTTCTTAACAGCCAATTAGAAAAGGATTTTAGAAAAAAAATCTTTTGAAGATATTTGTCGGTACAGTTTCTAAAACATATGCTTGTGTGTGTGTGTGTGTGTGTGTGTGTGTAAGTTAATGCCCTATTTTAAATTTAACTCAAATAAGTAGTTTTTAAAACTGTCTGATACTTACACCGCACTGTGAATGTACTTAAAGCCACAGGACTTAAAAATGGTTCCGTTGTGTTGGATATATTTTACTATATTTATTTTTGCTATATTTTAAAAGGTTTTTTTCCTAAAATTTAGATTTCAGTAACCCACTTGAAAACTTTGAAAATATTTTAAAATTACAATTCTGATACTGGGGGGGAGCATTCTACTCATTTGTGGTGTTTAGATAGTGTTTTTAGAGTAATTCCTTTGGTTAGACACCTAACTTTCATCTGCTTTATTTACAGACCTTATTCCAATATTACACCAGGGCTTGGAATTCCAAGACAAATAAGAACTAAGCCCAAGAATTCTAACTTCAGATTGATTATGTGACTAAGACAATGAATACATGTGAAGGTTTTTGCTTTGAAAGTGCTATTTTCTTTCTCTTTAAAGTGACCATAAATCAGACTGAACATAATCTGACAGTGTCCCAGATTCCGTCTCCACAAATGTGGCACGTGTTTTATGCAGACAAATTCACATGCAAAGATGATCATGAGAACTCTCAGGTGGAAGATATTTCATTCGAAATGATGTTGCTAAACCCAGATGCCGAAGGAAATCCATTTGATCATTTTAGTGCTGGAGAATCTGGTAAGAATATATATTTAAGTATATGTCCTAAATAAAAACGAGCTAAGACAAAGTCTTGATGTTTTCAGAATGTGAAAAATTAAAAAAACCTTCCGTGTCTAACACTGGGGAAGTGACTAAGTGAATCTTAAAGACATTTTAGTAGCTGTCCTAGTAAGTTTTTTTTTTTTAAAAAAAAAACAACATTACGTTTTATGTTGTGTGGTTTCAGCACGTTAAATGGTGCAGAGAATAAAGCAGGAGTTCAAAAATATTAATTCTCCCGTATTTGGGGATCAGATTATGAAGAGCTTCTTGTTCTCTATATGTGCTGAAATCCTGTCTTTTTTTTTTGCTTTTTGGGTCACACCTGGCGATGCACAGGGGTTACTCCTGGTTCTGCACTCAGGATTATTCCTGGCAGTGCTCGGGGGACCATATTTATTGTGGGATGCTGGAAATCAAACCCGGGTCGGCCTTGTGCCAGGCAAAAACCCTGCCCGCTGTGCTCCAGCTTCCAAATCTTATAGTTTTTATGATAACTCAGCATTGTTTTATGAAACAATGGTAAGAAATTGATCACTCTCCATTGGAAACTCAGTGATTAGGTGAAATTAGAATCTGTAGCACCCTGTTGTATCTTAGGTTTGCGCAGTGAACGCTTGCTTTCAGAGGTGTTTGTTCTCATTTCAGGAACAAAGTTGGTCGTGCCTTTAAAGATCATTTAACTTAGAAAGGGTTTGATCAGTATTTGTGTTCAGGTTGACTGTGTAACCGCCCTGCTGAGGCAGACTCCTAGCCCACACAGAAGTGAATGCTTTCTGTGCTTCATGATAGCTCAGGTTCTATGGAATCCCAGCAGACTTGTAAAGTTAACATATCAGACTGGAAACCAGATTTTCAGGCCCTCTTTCAAAGAGACGGGCTCGGGGCGGGGGACCTCTCTTTTGTTATTTTTGGTTATTTTTTGGGTTGCCTTGTTTGTTTGGTGGCCAAGGCAGGCACTGCTCAGGGGCGCCTCCCAGCTCTGTGCTGGGGGCTTGGGAGGGGGCAGATACTCAGGGGACCACACAGTGCTGGGAATCCACCAGGCTAGCACTCAGCTCATTGAGCTGTTCCTTGGCCCAAGGGTCAATCTCTTTAGAAGTTCATAACCTACAGGGAAGAATTTAATTCCGGTATCTCGCACTGGGCTGGTGGGTGGGTAGGTGGAGGTCTGGCAGGAATTGAAGACTAACTCAGAAGACTAACTCAGTTAGTCCAGAATATAAATTGCTATAGTCACAAAAGCAACTTAGGGAACCTGTGTTTTGGATAATATGGTAAAAAGGCAGCGAAGGTGTGAAGGGATGCACATTTAAAAAACAAACGCTTTCTCTGGAATAAAACACACAGAGACACACATACACACCACACATTTCATGCTAAGTGTTTTAAAATAGTTCATCCTAAAAGTTCCTCCTGGGGCCTGGCATACAGCTCAGCAGGTAGAGAGTGCTCAGCTCCTGTACAAGTTCCTGAGTGCCATCCTGACACCTCGCACCAAAATCAACCAACCAAACAAACACAAACAAGTTCTCTCTGTGATAGAAATGACAGCAGTACAAACTGCTCCAATTCTTTTTGGAATGCAAATGACATTACAGATTAAGGTAAAGGTAAAGGCCCTCCCGTTGATCGTCGATTTGCTCGAGCGGGCCCAGTAACGTCTCCATTGGAGACTTTGTACATTACAGATTAAATCCCACAAAATGCTGCCTTGGTCCCGGTCCCACAGGGCATCTTGCAGGGTGCTGATGTGGTCCCACCATTTATTTTCCAAAGAGCTGTTGGTCTTGGCTTCCTGTCCCTTTGGGTGGGCCGGGGGAATCTTGAGCCCCAGACGGCGCTGGTCCGGATGGGCGCTTCTGTCGGGTGCCTTCCAACCTGAAGTCTTCGTGTAAAGTCTCTTCAGACTGATCCAGACTCCGTCGGAAACCAAGCCTACCTCAGGCCCAGACACTCAGACCCCAGTACCTGCCCAGAGGTCCTGCCCAGGAGCCCATCCCGAACCCAGCCCAAGGGCTTCCTTTATTCACTGGGTGGATCCTCCTGAAATGCTGTTTCTTGTCTTTTTGTTGTTGTTTTTTTAAAGTTTTTTTTTGACGAATCACCGTGAGATACAGTTACAGATTTATGAACTTTCATGATTATGTTTCAGTCATACAATGACCGAGTACCCATCCCTCCACCAGTGCCCATTCTCCATCACCCTGTTTCTTGTCTTCTTAACCAGACTTTCATTTCCTCACTTTGCAGATGCCTGCCTTCCTTCCCACCCTGCCGCCTGAACGTTGAGCGCAGGCCACCAGGTGAATGGCCCAGGGAGGGGCCTAGTGTCCCTATTGGTTGTTCTCAGCCTGAACCTTGCCCCTGGCTTCTCCTGTTCTTCCAGTGTCCCAAAGGCCAGCCGCATTTTCTTTTAGGCTGGCCCTTCAGGTTGATTTCTCAATCCCCATGAACCGCCCTTTGTCCCTGTCTTCTCTGATTTTGAGTCAGTGCTTTTCCTTGTGTCTTCAATCTGCCTTTTCTATGCTGGGATGGAACATGACATTGGTCAGGTCACCAGCATGTCACCAACCCTGGCTGTGACTAAAAGACCATCGTGTGTACTTTCACTAAGCATGGCATCCTGCAGCAAGCGAATCTGGATGGATGGATTGTCAGAAAGTGCAGATTTGTTAAATGGCTGTCTTAAATTGCTCAGGACCACTTCATTTTTGTTGATGAAAATTCCCCAAACTTGGGGGCCAAAGAGGTAGTATAGTGGGTAGGGCACTTGCCTCATACATGCCAGAGTACCACATGTGATCCCCCGAGCACCTCCAGGAGTGATCCTGAGCACAGAGTCAGGAGGAAGCCCCTGGTGGGGCCCCAAAAGCCAAACATAAAATTCCCCATGCTTGACTCTGTGATTGATTCCCTGTTGAAGTCTGAGTCGGCAGCTCCCTCGGATCTCCGGGCCCAGATGTCCACCTCAGACACCCCAGCCTTGGTCTGGGAGGTGGATGCTGCTGTGTGCAGACCGTACATTTAACATCGCCTCGGAAACACGTTGGTTGTAAAGTGGACCCTTAAGGGGAATTCTTCCTACCTGAGAGCGTCAGGTATTAAATTGACTTTTAGGGAGTAACTCCCTCCCCTCTCCACCCCTGGTTAGTTGTTGCTGTTGTTTTTTGTAACCTTTGCTCATTTGTTTAATTTTCTGCCCTGCCTCGGGAAAAATTGATTTGCTCTGCTTTTTTCCTGTGAATTGACTGTTAAGCCATACATCTGAGAGGCTTGAATTAGCCTAACCTGGTGCAAATTGATGCAGATGTGTTAGATGTTATTTTGGTTGCGTTTTGCACATTGTATTTTTCAAACCAATTTTTATAGCGATAATGAAACCAGGCTTTGTTTCATCTTCTGTTTTTCTAGATCTTGTTTAGACTTTTCCAAGAAAGTTTTTTTTTAAAAAAAAAAAAGAAGAAGGAAAGCTTGATGCCTTTTGATTAAAAACAATACATAGGAATACCATCCTCTTAAGTCAGAATCAAACAGAACTTCCCCTTAAAAGAGGTAGAGTCATGTTAATTGGATCTGTGCTCATGTTAAGAGAAAAATAGTTCCCAGAATCCTCAGCGTTGGAAGTGCTCCACTAGAAAAGAGGGTCGGGTGGCAAAGCACGTGCTCAGCTCATGTGAACCCCGTGGCTTCCATCCTGCCCCACGCAGCTCCCCAGTTATGCCCAGGGGTTGCCCTTAGAACAAGGGGGTCACTCTTTATTTTAGTTTTTGATTCACACCCAGAGATACTCGGGTTGGTCCTGGATCTGCACTCAGGAATTTCTCTTAGTGGTTCTCAGGGGTAGCGGTATGGGTTGCTGGGGACCAAACCCAGGTCAGCTGTGTGCGGGGCAAATGCCCTCCCCGCCGTACTTTCGCTCTGGCCCCCAAGTACCCACTTGTTTTTAAATTACATTGCGGAGGCAATTTGGGCCACACCCAGTGGTGCTCAGGGCTCCCTTCAGGCTCTGCTTGGGGACTACTCCGGGCAGTGTAGAATGCGAGTGCCCTACTCGCTGTACTACTTCTCTGGCCCCTAAAATTAGATTTTTAATTTCAACGCCATGTAAGCAGATGGCAGAGGGAGGTTTGCTGAGGAAACAAACTCCAGACTTGCTGATCGAGGGGGTCTGTTTGAAACCTCACCGAGGGCAGAGCCAGCGTTTTCCCTCCAAGTATTGGAGTAGGGTTGAAGCAAGAATTAATTTTTGCGCCTCCAGTGAGCAGAGGTCAAAACAAGGGACCAGTTCAGGTTACTTAATCTCTGATCACAGGGATGGGACATGCCACTGGTATGTCCTGTTTTCACTCTTTCCTCTGTGTTGGTCTAACGGTGGAGCCATCTGAGGGTTACGAATACCTTGCAATGAGTAACCCATGAAGCTTAGAGGGAGGTAAGATTTTTAAGTAGAATGCCAAGCCCAATTGTTGGGTTTTTTGATTTTTTTTTTTTTTTTTTTTTTTTGCTTCTTGGGTCACACCCAGCGATGCACAAAGATTACTCCTGGCTCATGCACTCAGGAATCACTCCTGGCGGTGCTCGGGGAACTACATGGGATGCTGGGAATTGAACCGGGATCCACCGCGTGCAGAGCAAAATCCCTAACCACTGTGCTGTTGCTCAAGCTCCTCCATCCCCAATTCTTTACGCCAAAAGAGAAAGACAAAGATTCAGAGCACAAGATCACAGAATGCATTTCACTGACCCCCAGTAAATGGGGTTTTCAACATCGTGGCTCGCTCTGTCCTTAAAGCAACCCCAGGCCGGGGTGCTCATTACATCTAAAGCTGAAGTACTTTCGGTGTCAGATATTGGGGAAGAAAATACGGCCTCTCCTGTTATTTGATCATTTCTTCCCGGTTTCAGCCAAACTTTTCCCTCCCACTAGAGAAGTGGACGCTTGAGTTTTCCCTGCGTAGAGCAAGAGAGACACCCAGTGGCTGAAATTCTCACACGTCTTTATTTCTCTACCCGGTGCAGGCAGCATGATGGAGATGGAACTTTTTATGGGCCACTGTTTCAATTTGTTTTGTTTTCCCTACTAGTTGCCTTTTCAAAATTATTTGGGTTGGAGCGATAGCACAGCGGGTAGGGCGTTTGCCTTGCACGCAGCCGACCCGGGTTCGATTCCTCCGCGCCTCTCGGAAACCCCGTCAAGCTACCGAGAGTATCCCGCCCACATGGCAGAGCCTGGCAAGCTCCTTGTGGTGTATTCTATATGCCAAAAACAGTAACAACAAGTCTCACAATGGAGACGTTACTGGTGCCCACTCAAGCAAATCGATGAACAATGGGAAGACAGTGCTACAGTTGCCTTTTCAAAATTATTTGGTGTGTGTGTGGGTGGGGGTTTGGGCTGGGGGGGGGCTGGAAAAGTATATTATTCTTCTCTCCTTCCGCGGTGACCCCATTCGTTGGTCTCCGCTGGAGCTGCTTGTCCCGATCCACGGTGAGCCACATTCGAGGCCATGCTCCCTTTGGTTCCAATGTCACGTCTGGTCCCCGGGGCTCGCCCTCCGGAGAACCCCGACCCCTGTCCTCGTGTATTAGAGGTTCCGAACATCCTTGTTGCTGGCATTCCAGCAGCTTGGTCTCTGTCCCGGCTGCCGCACTGGCTGGGGATTCTAGTTTCACCTTGTACTCTGGCTGCCATGCTTGCCGGGGCGGCCCTGGCCTCGGTGCCTGTGACTCCCCAGTGGAGGTGCATGGGGGTACAGAGTGTTGCACATGTGCGCCATGCACTCTCACACCCCCGTGCACTTGGCCAGAGATCACACAGTGCGTGGCTATGCTGTGTGTCCCAGACTCTGAGCCGCCCATGGCACCGTGCTAGGTGCACGCAGGAGGTACCGAGGATCGAACTCGCAGCCTTGTGCTGGCTAGGCAGGACCCTTTGCCTCCAGGCCATCCTGCAGACCTCAAATGTTCCTTGTTCCTCGACTTCATAGAATACGGATCCGCTCTGGAGGTAAAAAGACCATCTAGGTGACAGCCGCAGTCACCCTTTGTTTTCCTTATACCATCCGCACATCCAGCCTGGCTACTCCTCAGGTTTCATTGCTGATCACTGTGCCTTAAAAAATAAATAAATAAATGAGATTTCAATGACTTTCATATAATCTGCCTTCTTATATAGTTAATAATGCTTTGTCCTAGAGTAGAAAGTTAAACTTCACATTGTGTTCTAGCCTCTTACAAAAGCAAATGCTGTGATTCCAGTTTTTCTTTTCTTTTTTTTTTAAGTAATTCTGGGGGATGAAGCCATAGCACAGCGGGGAGGGCGTTTGCCTTGCACGTGGCCGACCCAGGTTCGATTCCCACCATCCCATATGGTCCCCCGAGCACAGCCAGGAGAGATTCCTGAGTGCAGGGCCAGGAGTGATCGCTAAACATCGCTCGCTGGGTGTGACCCAAAAAGCAAAACAAATAAATAAATAGTAGTCCTGGAAGTAGATTGCCTGACAGGGTGCGAAACAACCCCACCCCCTTCACCAGCTTCGTTCTTCTCTCTGCAGGGCTGCACGAGTTCTTCTTCCTGCTGGTGCTCGTGTACTTCGTGGTTGCCTGCATCTACGCACAGTCGCTGTGGCAGGCCATCAGGAAGGGCGGGCCCATGCACGGGGTCCTCAAGGTCCTGACCACTGCGCTGCTCTTGCAGGCTGCCTCGGCTCTAGCTAATTACATACACTTCTCCAGGTAACTCCACACCACCACCGCTGTCATCGTTCCATCTAATTAATCCTAATTAGTCCACCAGAATTATGCTCGCTTTGATTGTGAAGCGTGATCTCCCCCTCCTCCCCGCCCCTGCATCTGTAACGTCTGCTAATACTCTCCTTTTCCATCCCCCAGGTACTCCAGAGACGGCACGGGAGTACCTTTCATGGGGAGTTTGGCCGAATGTAAGTGTCTTCTGGTGATTATTATTATTATTTGTGATTATTGTTATTATTTTTAATGTAATCTTGTTCTCTGCTTCTTGTTAGTTTTCCCTGACTTTTGTAAATTATTTGGAGCAATAGCACATTGGGCAGGGCATTTGCCTTGCATGCGGCTGACCCGGGGTTCTATTCCTTCATCCCTCTCGGAGAGCCCGGCAAACTACTGAGAGTATCCTGCCCGCACGGCAGTCTGGCAAACTCCCCGTGGTGTATTCGATGTGCCAAAAACAGTAACAACAAGTCTTACAATGGAGACGTTACTGGTACCTGTTCGAGCAAATCAATGAACAACGGGAGGACAGTGCTACAGTGCCATTTTTTTTTTTTTTGTCACAGAGCACAGATCCCAGCCATGCTTGGTTAGGATTCAGTTAGATGAGAACAAGGTTCAGGTTTAGTTCCTACATGTCTGATTTATTTTCTTCCTAGTTGATGCCCATGTCTCCTTGTTGTTTTTAGAGCATAGTTCTCTAAAAAATGTGCGTTTCTCTCATTTCTGTTCAGTAAAAGCTCAGTGAAGAAGGTGTCCTTTTCCCCCATTTTGTGTCTCAAGACTGGGCCCAGTGGCCCGAAGCACTCTCCCGAGTGTGCCTTGCCCACCAAATGTGAGAACCAAGACTCAGATCAAGCTTTCCGATCCCCAAGCTGGACATTTTTCCCATTATCTTCTCTTTCTCTGACTCTTTATATTTCTATTTCTGAGTCATTAGCATATACCTACAAATCAGCTAACCTCATAACTTAAATCTTTTATTAGAGGTATTATCAAGTAATTTTTCCAATCAAGCATGATGGGGAAAATCATAAAAATTTTCTATTAGTCCAGACTTTTAATTATTTTAAATTATTATAGCTGTAGGGCATTTGCCTTGCACGCGGCTGACCCAACCGACCCGGGTTCAATTCCTCCGCCCCTCTCGGAGAGCCCGGCAAGCTACCGAGAGTATATCACCCGCACGGCAAAGCCTGGCAAGCTCCCCGTGACGTATTTGATATGCTAAACACAGTAACAAGTTTCAAAATGGAGACATTGCTGGGCCCACTCTAGTAAATCTAGTAATTATATTATTGGGCTGTACTTGGTGGTGCTCAGGGCTTACTCTTGCTGGCTCTACACTCAGGGATCACTCCTGGTGGGGCTCGGGGGAACCACGTGGGGTGCTAGGGATCGAATCCATCTCGGCCGTGTGCGAGGCAGTTGCTGTTACCTGCTCTACTGTCGCTCTGACCCTGATCCAGATTTTTAAAAACAGAAACTTCACAAAGACAGCAGGTCATTGCTGTACTCGGTCCTGGAAAACTGCTTTTTTAAAGGCAAAAAGAAGACTGGCTTGCAAAAGGAAGATTCTGAGTTGGATACTGTCTTGAGAATTATTTTCCTTGTATTTCCACACTTTGGTCTCATTCTTCAATAGGATGTCTGAGGTCACTTCTGTGACACTGATCTTGCCACCTCTTTTTTTTTTTTTTTATTTTTTATTTTTTTATTTATTTATTGAATCACTGTGGGAAAGGTTACAAAGCTTTCAGGTTTATGTCTCAGTCATGCAAATATCAAACACATTTCCCTTTACCAATACTTATTTTTTACCATGAAGAACCCCAATAAAACCTCACCCCCCCACCCCTCCCCGTCCCTGTGAGGCAGATGAATTCTAGTTAACACTCTATCTGCTTTGATTAGATTCATTGTTTCAATAAAAGATTCACCACTATTATTTAGAGTTTACCCCCCCCCCCCAAATCAGACATGCTGAAAAAGCATTGTGAAGTGATTTGCTTTCTACGGCTGGGTTCAAGAATTAAATGTTGGTTTTGGATTTCTGCTCTTTTACCTATTGACCCTGGAAGTATTTCTACTGAAAGTCAGATAGTTAAGAAATTGGTTTCTGTGTTCTGGAGTCCTGGCCATGCTGGAGAGCCGCTCGCGGGGGGCAACCGGTGGCCTCGGTAGGGCGTGAAGGGCGGAGCGAAACGCCCCCCTTCCCATGAGGTTTTAGTCGCCCCCACACTCCCGGCTCATACCTGCTGTCCACAAGGCTCCCATGTGGCCGCCATCTTTCTTTCCAGAGAGGAGAGGGCGAATGGGGCAACACCCTTTCCCCTCCGGCAGACTTGATGGCCTGGATCAATGCATAGTCCGTTCACTTTTCTGCTCCAAGCTGCTGGGTTCTGCATTAAGTCCTTGTGCTTCTGGGGCCGTGGCCGTGCTGGAGAGCTGCTCGCGGGGGGCAACTGGTGACCTCGGTAGGGCGTGAAGGACGGACCAGAACGCCCCCCTTCCCATGAGGTTTTAGTCGCCCCCACACCCCCGGCTCATACCTGCTGTCCACAAGGCTCCCATGTGGCCGCCATCTTTCTTTCCAGAGGGAGGAGGGCGGAAGGGAGCAACACCCTTTCCCCTCTGGGCAGAAATGATTGCCTGGATTAACGCATAGTCCTTTCACTTTTCTGCTCCAAGCTGCTGGGTTCTGCATTAGGTCATTGTGCTTCTGGGGCTGTTGCCACCTCTTTTAAAACTACAGTTTCTATAATCTGCGTTTCCCTTGTGAAGAGGAAATGTACCCGTGGGCATGAACAAATGTTGGTTCCCCTTGACCGTTGAGCCCTAGGATCTCCCAGTTTTTCTTGAGGTGACTCTGAGTGTCCTAAAATTTAAAAGCTGGATAGAGCCTTAGAAAATAGCTTAGCTTACATATTTCAGTGTTTATTTATTGGTTGGTGGGTGGGTTGTTTTTGGGCCATACTCAGCAGTGCTCAGGGATTACTCCTGGATCTCTGCTCAAGGATCACTCCTGACAGTGCTCAGGGATTACTCCTGATCTTTGCTTAGGGATCACTCCTGACAGTGCTCAGGGATTACTCCTATATCTGTGCTCAGAGATCACTCCTGACAGTGCTCAGGGATTACTCTTAGATCTGTGCTCAGGGATCACTCCTAATAATATTCAGGGATTACTCCTGATCTTTGCTTAGGGATCACTCCTGACAGTTCTCAGGGATTATTTTTGGATCTTTGCTCAGAGATCACTCCTGAAAATGCTCAGGGATTACTCCTGGATCTGTGCTCAGGGATCACTCCTGAAAATGCTCAGGGATTACTCCTGGATCTGTGCTCAGAGATCACTCCTGACAGTGCTCAAGGATTTCTCCTAACCTTTGCTTAGGGATCACTCCTAACAGAGCTGAGGGAACTATATGAATTGTTGGGGAGCTAACCTGGGTTGGCCACATGCAGACAGGCTCTCTACCTGCTGTACTTTCTCTCCGGCCTTATGCATTTTAGATGAGGAAATCGCTGCCCTCAAAAGGCCAGAGCACATCAAGTCCTCTGGTGGCAAAGCTAATACTGAGTTCAAAGACTGGAATTTTTGTGAGCGTCTCCTATCTTCAGTACTGTGTTCAGACTGTTTATCATCTTGACCAGAGGGTAAAAACCCAAAGTTTTTATTAAAAATAATAAATCAGTGTCACTAATTTTTATGTAGTACTTGCAAAAGGTTTGGTTCGTCAAATGTTTAAAATGTTAAGATTTTTTTTTTTTTTTTTTTTTTTTTTTTTTTTTTTGCTTTTTGGGTCACACCCAGTGATGCACAGGGGTTACTCCTGGCTCATGCTACTCAGGTCCTCCTGGCGGTGCTCAGGGGACCATATAGGATGCTGGGAATCGAACCCAGGTCAGCCATGTACAAGGCAAACACCCTACCCTCTGTGTAATCGCTCCAGCCCAAAATTTTAAGATTTTTAATCAAATCCCATACAATGAGATTTTTGTGGGTCAGTGTATTTCACATAATTTGTTTATTTTTATATTTTTATATTTGTTTATTTTTATAACTCCTAAGCACTGCCGGGTATGGCCCCAAACCAAACCAAACCAACCAGCAAGGTAAACCTTGCTCTCCTTAATCTCACCTTGAGGACTTTTATCACATCCTGTGCTCATTATTTGGTGTATAAAGAAAGGAATCAGAAATCCAAGCCTTCTTCCCCCCAGTATTTGATTTTGTTCATTGAGAACATATATACACTATTCTTTTGGTGAGGAGCTAGAGTGATAGTACAGGGGCTTTGCCTTGCTTGTGGCTGTCCCGGGTCAATATCCAGCATCCTATAGGGTCCCCTGGGCCTCGCCAAGAGTGATTCTTGAGTGCAGAGCTGGTAGTAACCCCTGAGCATTGCCACGTGTGGCCTCAAAACAAAATGAGAATATTCCTTTGGTGAACTTGCGTTTTATAAAAACTGAATATGTAGTTGTGAATCGTTCTAGAGACACAGTTGGCCTAACAGTCACTGAAGATCTCCAGTGAAAGAATTCTGTGCTGAAAGAGAAAGTGCTTAATTGGAGGGCATGTTCTGTCATTCCAGTGTAATGATTAATGATAGGTCATGGTCAGAATTCACCAGTATAAATATAGCTGCCTCAGGGGGCTGGAGCGACAGCACAGCAGGTAAGGTGTTTGCCTTGCATGCAGCCGACCCAGGTTTGATTCCTCTGTTCCTCTCGGAGAGCCTGGCAAGCTACCGAGAGTATCCCGCATGCACGGCAAAGCCTGGCAAGCTCCCCATGATGTATTCGATATGCCAAAAACAATAACAACAAGTCTCACAATGGAGATGTTACCGGTGCCCGCTCGAGCAAATTGATAAACAATGGTGACACATGACCAGTGTTAACTTCCCTCCACCCGTTGTTCCCAAACCTTGCCTCCTACCCACGAAGGCCCCCGCCAGCCCCCGGCCCACCTGCCATTTCCATAAGTACCTTTCATGTGTGGTAATTGAAAAAAATAGTGTTTATTCCAGAGTCCACACCAAAAGACACTTGGTGGAGCTGGAGCGATAGTGTAGCCGGTGAGGTTGGATCCCCCACACCCCATATGGTCCCCCTGACCTCCCTAGGAGTGACCCCTGAGTGGAAAGCGAGGAGTAACCCCAAGCACCTCCAGGCATGGCCCCCAAAGCAAGAACAAGACACCTGATAAACTAATTGGCCTTTTAAAAACCCAGTAGGGGCCGGAGCGATAGTTCAGCGAGGAGGGCATTTGCCTTGCATGCAGCAGACCTGGGTTCAGTTCCCGGCATCCCATATAGTGCCCCGAGCACCACCAGGAGTAATTCCTGAGCACAGAGCCAGGAGTAACCCCTGAGCATCTCTGGGTGTGACCCAAAAAAGCAAAAAAAAAAAAAATACCTAGTAAACGTTGACATCTAAAATAAATAGGTATGGACCTAGAGTTCTTGGTAGATGGTTCTTGCTGGTGTCCCCAAGGGACTTGTGGGCAGTTTGGCTTCGTCCTCTTCTGCAGCGTGCATGGTGGCCACTTGGTGGCGCCTCGCACTAATGCATTGGCTGGTCTGTCTGGGGGCGGCCTCCGGGCTCAGGCCAGGGTTTCCCAGTCTAATCCCGTCATTAGAGAAGTGAGCGCTCCAGCAGAGAAGGCACTTGTGTGCTCCACCTTGGAAAAATTATATTGAAATGTTAATTTTTTAAAAAAATAAGCAGTTAACTTAGAAAATAAGATTATGTAGCTTGAAAAGCTTCGAAGCCTGCAAAGAGCTTTGGAGCTTGCCTTAGTGAAAACCGGAAATGGGAATAGACTTACTTCTTTTCAAATAGGAGGGTTGCCACTTGTAACTGTTTTCGTCAGGGCTACAAATGGACTGGCAAAGTTTTAACTCCTTAGAGTCATTGTGCAGGCGTATGTTACTGGATTTCATCAGCTGCTCCTGGAAAAATGCCCTTCTTTTTTCTTGTTTAAAAAGAGAAAGAAAAGAATCGTATTCTTAATACAGACGGATCACATTCTTTGGACTGTGAAAACTCGGTTCACTCTGCTTTACATTTCCTACTAGTCTTTGACATCGCTTCCCAAATTCAGATGTTGTACCTCCTTCTGAGCCTGTGCATGGGCTGGACCATCGTCCGGATGAAGAAGTCCCAGAGCCGACCGCTCCAGTGGGACTCCACCCCTGCCTCCACGGGCATTGCTGTGTTCATCGTCATCACCCAGGTGAGTGCAGAGCAGAGGGAGGGGCAGCCTTCTGCCCCGCTGTCAGCCTTACCTCTTCAGAAATGCAAATGAGCCCATCCTCTGTCAGAATTGAAATGACAAGAACTGAAATCTTGTCATTTGGAGGCATGAAGGAGTGGGGGTGGGGGTGGGGGGGACCAGTGTGGTAAATCAAATAACTCATTAGGCTCCTGAATGCCACTTTGCATGGGTTGCGGAATTGAACGGTATTTCACCCGGTTTGGCGCTTCCTGTCAACTTATTTAAGTGCAGTGTGTTTAATGGGAGGTGAGAGTCTCATTTCCCCGCCTAATAGCCTTCTTTCCTATTTTCTAACACAGAGTAAGTACCTAACATTAAATCAGCAAATCTGAGATTCAGCACTGGCAAAGATCTTTATATACTGAAGAATGCACCTGGATAAACTGAGATGAATAAAAAAGGAAAGCAGTAAAAAGGAATGGGCTCTTTTTTTTAAAAGCCAATGCAAAATCAATTTTTGATCTTTTTGAAATTGCAATGCAATTGACAGTACCCTAAGATCTCCATCTGGCTATGTGCAGTTAATTTAAAAGAATTAAAATTTTAAGAGAAGTATCAAGATCAAGATTTTATGCTGAGTTTGTGATGGTTATTAGCTGTGCACGAGAATGAAATGTATATGCAGTGTCCACAAGGGACATTGTAATCTAAATTTTAATGCATTGAGTAAATGGAAAAATTAATGAGTGAAGGGTAAGACCTGTGCTTTGTTCATCTTCACATACCCAGCATTTATTTGAAACAACAGGGGCCTGAGCGAAGTAGGTGTATTAAATTGGATGATTGATTTGGAATGAGAACGTAACACTGGTAGAGATATTAAGAAAGGAGATAGTGCCAGGAAGGAGGGACTCAGGAGAAGCAACTCTGAACCGATGCCGGACAGGGTTCTAGTGGTAAACGGTTTTGATGCAGAACTTTTCAAGAGCAGCATCAGTGACAGTTAAGTTCTCATTTCTCAGTAACTGTTATTCAATTGGATTTTTGTTATCATAACAAACAAACAAACAAACAAACACTGTCCTCCCGTTGTTCATCTATTTGCTTGAGCGGGCCCAGTAATGTCTCCACTTTGAGACTTGCTACTGTGTTTGGCATATCGAATACGTCACGGGTAGCTTGCCAGGCTTTGCTGTGCAGGCGAGATACTCCCAGTAGTTTGCCAGGCTCTCCAAGAGGGGCAGAGGAATTGAACCCGGCTCAGCGGGGCTGGCTGCGTGCAAGGCAAACGTTCTACCACTGTGCTAACGCTCCAGCCCAATAACGACCAAAATATCATGATTTGTCATGATTTGTTATCATAAGCAAATGCAAATGAGGGTTGGATGTGACAGCCCTCCGGAGTTGGTATGAACATTCTGAAGTAGGCAGCAAGAGACCACAGAACACACGCACGCATCATCCATGCACAGCGTCCACAGATCAGAGTAGTGTCACAGATACGAGAATTCGGAAGTTTGACTATGGAAAAATATGGATGACAGGGAATGGAAGAGTGTTTTTTCCCCCTTATGAGGTATAATTGACAACTAGAAATTGCACGTTTCAAGCAGCTTAGTCACCAGCCTTGGGTGTAGCTGCTGGCCTGCGGGCTGGTCGGTAGACAGGGGCCAGTGTGTGGGTGTAAAGAGACTGAAGGACGCCTGGCTTAGGGCGCACACACTGGCCTTTCGGTACACTCGTGCATTGTGCAGCGGTCACCGTGGCCAGTGGGCTGCCCCATCTGTGGACACCACAAGCCAAGGATCGTCCAGCAGCACTGCTTCGATATCCAACTTAGGTGTGGAAATGCAGGTTGAGGAATTGGGATGGCTGTTGGGTTGATCAGGGTGGGGCGGTGACACTTGGAGTGATAAGGGAACACTGTTGGGTCCAGGAAGGAGCCTGTGTGCAGGAGGACCGGGGAGGATCTGTCCCGAATGGCTGCAGGAGTGAAATTGCGTGGAGAGTTTTTATTTGGGGGCCACCTCCAGCAGTGCTCAGGACTCACTCCCGGCAGTCGGTGCCTGGGGGACCATATGTGATGCCAGGGATGGAATCCTGGTTGACTGCATGTGTGGCAAGTCCCCGCCCTGCTCCGGCCTCTGAGAAAGAGGAAAAGACGAGGTTGCTGGGAACCCAGAAAGCCCAGGAAGGGGACTGAACCATGTGGGTTTCTGTCCGAGTTCCTCGGCAGACCCTGAGCACTCAGTTCTGAGGGCTGAGTTGGCAAATGAAAGCTGTGCGATGCCATGCAGTGGTGAAAACCTGATCATCCTTCAAGGGGGTATTGGATCAAGAGGAAGGGAACAGGAGCTTTGGGAGCAGGGGCCCACCAAGCACTCACTGCCACAGTCATGGGAGAAAAGTTCGGCGAGAAGGGAACTCCACGCTCCGGCTGGCATCAAGCGAACATTAAAAACTATCTTAGGGGCTGGAGCAATAGCACAGTGGGTAGGGCGTTTGCCTTGCATGTGGCCAACCCGGGTTCGATTCCCAGCATCCCATATGGCCCCCTGAGCACCGCCAGGAGTAATTCCTGAGTGCAGAGCCAGGAGTAACCCCTGTGCATCGCCAGGTGTGACCCAGAAAACAAAGCAAAACAAACAAAAAAAAAAACCTTTTAGTCCTTACGGGCTGGGTAGGCACCATGATCATGAAGGTGCTTTTCCCAGGGCAAGGCGGATTCGTTGCACCCCGTGTGTGCTGACTTCTGTGATTGCCCCAAATGTGACAAACTCGACAGTACAATTTGTGGCAGTGAGGGGACTGCATTTGCACTTTCCCCTGAGGAAAGGAGGGGGTGAAGGGGTAGGGAAGACATTGTGTTATGGCAAGAGTTGGCATCAGGTCTGAAGGCAGCGAAAGATACTCTGAAGGTATGAGCTCTCTGAAAGTTACCCTGAAACAACGGGCTTGCAGGCAGGGCAGTTGAATTCCTGACACGATGCTGAAGTAAGAAGAGGGTGGATTTTGAAGATATATTTTATTTGTTCTTTTCATCTTTTCGACTTGTTTCTGGCCTGAGAGATGTTTTCCTTGAGTCACGATCATTCTTTCAGTATGTTTTCAAAGTTTTTGTGTGTACTCTCATTTGACTAAAATGACAATGACGATAATAATAAATAATAAGCCCCTCGGGGTGGAGTGATAGCACAGCGGGTAGGGCATTTGCCTTGCACATAGCCGACCTGGGTTCAATTCCCAGCAGCCCATATGGTCCCCTGAGCACTGCCAGGAGTAATTCCTGACTGCAAAGCCAGTAGTAAACCCTGTGCATCGCTGGGTGTTACCCAAAAAAACAAAAATAAATAAATAGCTAGATAGATAGTAAGCCTCTTCTCTAGCTTCGGGGCTCTCAGACTTAGGAAAAGTCTGTGTGCTTTATTTCTGGACAACCTTTATAATCTCATCAGTTTTAGAACCCTTTAGGGAAGTTTTCCCCTGAAATAGTCTATAAGACTTAGAACCCACAGAACTTTGCCAAGGAGGTAAGGGTGGGGGCAGGAGGGGAACTTGAGACTTTGGTGGGGGGACACAACACGGCTGGTATGTGGGGAACTTTGTTCCTGTACTGTAGATCCTGCGCCTAAGGGGAAAATGGAGGAGACAGAAACTGTCCTTGGTTGTAGGTGTCTTTCTTGTTCCTTCCATCCCCTCTCAATGAAATCCTGTTATTTTTTTGTATTTTGTTTTTCGGTTTTTGTCCTTGCAGAGTGTGTTGCTGCTTTGGGAGCAGTTTGAAGACGCCAGTCCTCACAGCCACCACTCACACCACCTAGCCGGGATTCTGCTAATCATTTTGCGAGTTGGCCTCGCATTGTCCTTCGGCTGCGGCCTGTACCAGATCATCACGGTGGAGAGAAGTACCCTGAAAAGGGAGTTCTACATCACATTTGCCAAAGTATGCTTTTGGGGGAGAAAAGAGTGTTTGTGTGTTTGGGGGTAACATAAGACAGCGCTCAGGGCTTGCTCCTGGCTCTGTGTTCAGGGCTGAGGGAACCATATGGGGCGCTGGGGGGTCCAACCTGGGTTGGTCTCATGCAAGGCAAGTTCCCTATGGAGAACTATCTCCTATCCCTCTAGTCCTGAGAAAAATGGTTTTTCACTCGCTCATGTCCTTTAACTATGTATGATGTGTCACGCTCTGTTCTGAACCCCTAATGGGCTTCAGTGCACTTGACCTTTCTGACCCGGAAGTAGATGCTACTGTCCCAAACCCAAGGAGCAGTCATTTCCACGTCATCCTCATTGGCAGATCAGCGGGGCCAAAATCATCCTTTCTTTAGTGATAGGCATTTTACTTTTGTCTCCTGAGGTGTGAGAATCGTCACCCTTTTTTTTTTTAAATTTGATTAGAATGTGATTTGCATTTCACAAACAAGTTCCTGCCCATGGAACTGTCACTCTCAGGATTGGGTGATGGTTTCTGACAAACCATGCAGACCGTTTCCTCAGCATGAGCGACTGGAAGCGGGGTCTGAGGCCTTTTTATCCTGCTCCTGCGGAGCCCATGCACATGGGAGGCATCTCTCACCCCATCCCATGAAGGAGACCGGGGATGGGGGTGCAGTGGCATGCCGGAAGCTTCCTCTGGAGAAGGTGCCATTTTTTTGTTTTTTGTTTTCTTTCTGTCAGATGGAGAAAATCCTTAGGCCTTTATTGGGGCGACGCAGAGCCACGAGTAATGAACAGACCATGCCTGTCACCCCCGCTGGCCCACAGTCTGGGGTGCCCCTGGGGAAGGACAGCCGGGCTCCTCCTCAGTCCCCCCACAGAGCCCCTCCATGCCCTCATCCTTCTGCCTCTCTGGAGAGTTAGTGTGAAGCCCAGCTCCTTGGGGTTGGCGTCTCGTCTTGGCCGTTTTCTGTGTCTGCGTGGGCCAACCTTTTCCCTTCTCCTTGGAAAAGTGTTGTTGGGTCTGTTTTATTTTCCCTGTTGCCAGTGTGTGGAAAGAGTAGCAGACGGTGTTTCCTGGGTCTCTCCCATCACCTCACTCCCTTCTCAAATAGCAAAATAGCAGCAATTGGTCATTCCTAGTTTATCCGCTCAGAGAAGGTTTATTTTGTTGTTGTTGTTGTTGTTTTTGCTTTTTGGGTCACACCCGGTGATGAGGCTCAGGGGTTACTCCTGGCTCATGCACTCAGGAATCACTCCTGGCGGTGCTTGGGGGACCATATGGGATGCTGGGAATCGAACCTGTGTTGGCCATGTTGGCTGCATGCAAGGCAAACGCCCTACCCGCTGTGCTATAGCTCCAGCCCCGTAGTTTTAACCTGCATTTCGACATGGTTTTCCTGCATTTTAGATACAAAGAGTAGCAGGCTCTATACAGTTTTTAACATCTTTGGTTTTTAACCTTTATTTTCAGTGTGTCATTGTAATATTAGCACTTTTTTTTTTTTTTTTTTTTTTTTTTTTGCTTTTTGGGTCATGCCCAGCAATGTTCTGGGGTTACTCCTGACTCTGCACTCAGGAATCACTCCTGGTGGTGCTTGGGGGACCATATAGGATGCTGGGAATCAAACCTGGGTCAGCTGTGTGCAAGGCAGATGCCTTCCCCACTGTACTATCTTCCTGGTCCCCACCTTATTTTTTTTTTATTTCCAAATTTAATTTTGTAAAAAAGAGACCCTATTTCCACGGTTCTAGGGAACACAAGAAAGATGTTTGCAGAGTCCAACATTATGATGTTTCTCACATCTGGGCTGGAGAGACAGCTCTGGTGCCAGCCATGTGCCGGGCGCACGGGGGCACTGGGATCAGTCCCCAGAACTGCGGGTTTGCCCGGGCAGCCCCAAGTGTGGCTCTGTGGTCCCAGCAGCTCTGGGCAGACCCATGCAGCAAGCAGCCGCTCTGGCCCACCTCCCTTCCCAGTTCCGTTCTCCAGTGCCCTGACCCTCAGCAGACAAGTGACACTCACTGGTAACCAAATATTGCCATACTCTCACGGAATTTCTTTTTGACTTTCTGGGGGACCACCCAGGGAGTCCCCCGGTTGGTGCTCCGGAGACCTCCCAGTGCCGGGAGTCAAGCCCAGCCTCTCTCTTGTACAGCTGACTTAGGCGCCCTTCTAGCTCTTTCCTCAACCCCAGAACCCCTCTGTGCTCCTAGCAGTCATTAAGAGTCTGCATCCTTGTTTTTCCCCTTTTCCAGTAGTATTACAGATTGGGACCTTACAATTTTTATTTCCTGATCATTGATTTGATTCTTCTTTTGCCTTTGTAGTTTATTAAATGTAAGCAATTCACTTAATATGAAGGATTTTTAAGTACAGGAAATAAAAAAGAATCCTTTTTTTTTATAAGCAAAATGTTGTCACAGTAACAGCGAATGTATTTTCATGGTTCACCACAAACTACCCACTGAGGGGCAAGATGCCCTCTCGAGAGACCTCCTTAGCAAGGAGGAGTAGCTTCTCCCACGGCAGTTGGAGTCGAGGGTCTCTGCTCGCCTCACTCGATGTCCTCCCATTTCAGGGCTGTATCTTGTGGTTCTTGTGCCATCCAGGCCTTGCTTGCATTTCCATCATCTTCAGCGACTACCAAAGAGATAAGGTAAGCCACGTACATCATCAGAGGAGTCTTCTCAGGGCTGGGGAGGTCACTCAGGGATGGAGCCTGCACTCTGCCTGCTTGGGGCATGTGTCCATCCCTGGCCCCACTCCCACCCCCCACCCCCATCTCTGGGAGGCCCCTGTCTTGAAATAATGGCTTTTTGTAGTCTTGATTGGTAAGTTCTAGTTTGGGGACCATACCGGGTGATGCTAGGGGACTACTCCCAGTCCCGGTAGTACTGGAGGGGAAGTGCGGTACCTGGAGTTGAGTCTGCAGAGTGCGCCCTGCAGCCCGGGAGCTCTTCCTGGCCCATTGACCAACTTGGGGGCTTTTATTTAATTCTTTTTTGGTTTGTTCAGGGAACTGGGGTAGGGGGTGGGCCTGCTCAGCATGGTCAAGGCTTTCTCCTAGTCTCCTGGTGATGTTTGAGGGAACCATATGGGGTTCAAGGGATCAAACCTGGGTCATCCACATGCAAGGCGAGCACCCTACCTATCTGTTGTACTATTGCTTTGGCCCCTATTTTTCAATTCTCTAAAAGTTTGAAACAAAATACTGAACCAGGCAGTATATAAACTGGCATTTAGCTTAAGTTTATTTCATCCATTTCATAAGACAGATCAGGGAATTCATCATCATAAGTATTTATATGAAGACAGGATGAAATTCTTTGCTCCATAATGGTAAAGAGCCAATTAGATTTGGGGGGGGGGGGCGGCTTCGTTTGTTGTTTTGGTTTGGGGGCCATATCCAGCAGTGCTTGGGTTTTACTCCACGCTCTGTGCTCAGGGATCACCCCTGGCAGTCCTTCAGGACCAGCTGGGGTGCCAGGGATTGAAACGTGGTCAGTCTCATGCAAGGCAGACGCCCTCCCCACCGTACTCTGTCTCAGGCCCCAAGTCAGGTGGATTTCCAAAGCTCAGTCCATGGCTTGCATGTCCTGTGGACTGCATGCCACGCCCAGGCATGCCCTGTGATCACAGTGTAATTACCCCCTCCCCCCCGCCCCGGGCAGGGCCTCTATCTTTTCCCTTCCCAAGAGTGTGGGGAGCCTGCTACATGCCCCCCTGCCCAACCCCCCCCCCCCCCCCCCCCACGGCCTGTGATCACACAACTGTTGTCTGAGCCTGAGATCCTTACCGAGCGGGAAAGGGTAGGGATGTCATCTACAGAAGCAGAAGTGACTGGAACGTTCTGGATGCATCTTCTCTGCAGGGGAGGCCGGCTTTACTGCTATTGCGGGATTAGCCCGAGATCTGGTTGGCCTTACCACTGTCTGTACCATGTGTGCCCAAGCCCAGGATGGCTTTGCAAATTGTTCTTGTCTGTCTTATTTTTGGCAACTGACTCTTAGAGGAATCTTAACCGTTGAACAATTACAGGTCTGAACATCCATCCTGTTTTTCCTCTTGAACACTTCTTTGCTAAGGTGTGCCAGTGTTAAGGATGAAGGATAAAGTGGTGTAGATAGCATGTGTGTGTGTATGTGTGTGTATAAGTCACTGGTTCATGATAGGTGGGTTGATTTCTTCCGTGCCTTTGTGAGCAGTAAGTACATTTCCTTTCTTTTCTTTGCAGGTTATTACAATGGGCGTCATCCTCTGCCAGTCTGTTTCCATGGTGATTCTCTACAGACTCTTCCTGTCCCACAGTTTATACTGGGAAGTTTCCTCTCTCTCCTCCGTAACGCTGCCACTGACCATCTCCTCTGGACACAAGAGTCGGCCTCACTTCTAATGCTCGATTTTCGTTGGAAGGAAAAGCCAATTGATGGAACAGTGCAATCAGCAGTTCAAATGCAGTGACTTTTTTTTCATACTTTTGCTATGAAAAATTGAACCAAGAAAGGAGAGCATGTTATTTATATGACTGCATTTAAGCAGTACCAAACCAGAAAAAAAAATACATGAATGTTTTGAATTATACTTAATAAACTTTCAAGAAAGAGTGTTGCTAGGTGATCTGTGCATATCCATATGGGAATAAAGATGAAAGAGATGATACATTTTATTAAGAGGTTCAAACCACTTATAATATCAGTAGTAAACTCAGTAAGCATAATATCATATGTAAACCTATAATATCAGTATATTGAAAAACTTTACTGATCAGTAAAACTCAGTAAGCATATAATATCAGTAGTAAACTCAGGTTTGATGGTCTTATAAAAAGTAATCAGTTAAATGATTTCTTGCTCGAATACCTCTATACCTCTTATGAAATCAGTGTGGTATGCTAACTTAAAAATGCAATGCTTTTTTTTTTTTAATGAGGACTGGAGCGATAGTGAGTGGGGAGGGTATTTGCCTTGCATGTGGTCAACTTGCTTTCAATCCCTGGCATCCCATATGGTCCACCGAGCCTACCAGGAGTAATCCCTGAGCACAGAGCCAGGAGTCAGCCTTAAGCATCACTGGATGTGGGCCCAAAACTGTCCTGTCTATCCTCCCATTGTTCATCGATTTTGCTTGAGCGGGCCCAGTAATGTCTCCATTTTGAAACTTCTTGTTACTGTGTTTGGCATATCAAATACATCATGGGTAGCTTGCCAGGCTTTGCCATGCGGGCAATACTTTCGGTAGCTTGCCAGGCTCTCCAAGAGGGGCGGAAGAATCAAACCCGGCTCAGCCGGGCTGGCTGTGTGCAAGGCAAACGCCCTACACGCTGTGCTATCGCTCCAGCCCAAACAAAACCATAAAAACAAAAATATTTTTTTCAAGCTTTAAGGAATTGCTTTTCATAATGAAGTTGGAAGGAACTGAAAGTGAACTTCAGAAAATGAATATAAAATACATCGACAGTTGAATGAATAAGGTTTTGTTTTATTTTCGTGAGTGGAGTAAGTATCTGTTTTTTTCTCTGGCCCAGATTTTATTAGTTATGAGCTTCTGGTGGTTTATTAAGAGTAAAACTTTGAGACATTGTGAGGACAAAGGCTTTAAAAATAGGAACACTTGGGTGAAGGGACAAGCAGGTTTACATGTTCAGAAAGAAAGAAGGAAAGGTACTCTGTGATATGGTACTAAAATTTTAATCCTGATATAATTCATTTCTCTAACAGTGAATCCCCCATCATAATTAAGCCGTATACACAGATTAAATTAACAGAAGCATTTCACATAAATGTTGGTTTCAGTCATCAACTACCCATGAATTCCTGCCCAAGGATACTTAATCAGGATTAAATTTTCTATGAATAATTGAAAAACAAAATACTCAATGGATTTGTTATAATCCGTGTTGGCACTGGATTCTACATAGTTGCCATCTTGAATCCTTTGTAATAAAGCCATAGTTTTCGTGGTGCTCAAATACTGAGGATGCTAGTTTTTAAAAAAATTACCCTATCAAAAGTACCTATTTAAATATTTGCTGAATGGCTGTTGATCCTACTGTGTAAAATGAGGGTTCACACTCATAGTTACTGGTTGAAATTAATCTGTCAAGTTGTTTCAGGATTTTCTTTCTTTTTTTTTTCATCCTGAGCTTATTAAAATATTTTGTTCACTCTCAACCAAGATATGGTGCACTGATCTGACAATTAAATTTTTTTCTTTTTGATTTTTAAGAAGACATCATCGCTTACAAAGTTGTTCATAATAGAGTCGTTTCAGACATACAGTGTACCAACACCAACCCCACCACCAATATCCCCTCCCTCCACCAATGGCCCAGGTCCTCATCCACCCATAGCCTGTCCCCTTGGCAATCATACAACAAATTTATTTTGTATTACTTGCTCCAATGAAACTTAAAGGACAGCAAACGGAATTGTCAGAAAGTAAATCAGAAGTCACTTTGTGATGATTGAGGAAATTATATTTTAAATTTAATAGATAAAATAACAGCACAATATCCATGACTTTTTTTTCCCCAAACCCTTCATTTCCTTGGAATTTTTCAATTATTATTCCACTATGATTTGAGCGGAGCGATAGCACAGTGAGTAGGACGTTTGTCTTGCACATGGCTGACCCAGGTTCGATTCTTCCATCCCTCTCGGAGAGCCCAGCACGCTACCAAGAGTATCCCACCCGCACAGCAGAGCCTGGCAAGCTCCTCATGGCATATTCAATTTGCCAAAAACAGTAAGAAGTCTCACAATGGAGACGTTACTGGTGCTTGCTCGAGTAAATCGATGAATAACGGAAGGACCGTACTACAGTGTAGTGCTACACCATGATTTACCAAGTTGTTCATAATACAGTGTTTTCAGACGTTCAATGTTCCCACACCAATCCCACCACCAGTGTGACTTTCCTTCCACCAATATCCTCAGTTTCCCACCCACCACTGAGCAGACCTTAGCAGGCACAAGTGCACTTTGTATCATTTGGCACAACACAAAAGTAAATGGAATTATCAAAACGCAGACCAATAAAAGTCAATTTGTGAGGATTGTTGTGTCTCCCAGTGGTGTCACTGACGCCTTTGAGGACCTACTGGGCTGGTTGATGCCTTGAACCTTCTGTGTTATTTTTGCCTGTTGAGCTTGTTGGTCCTCTATGTGTGATTCCACCAGGCTGACGGTACTAGGGGATTTGGAGGAACAGCGCACTCCAGGAGCTAAAGAGCTGGAACGATTTGGTGGCTTGGCCGTTTGACGAGGTTCAGTTGTGAAAGGTCTCAGGGTTCTCAGTCAGACCCTTCTACGCGGAAAGATTCGACCGCATCATGTTCAATCATATCAGCTTGATGTGAAGCTGGGCAGTTTCTCGGCTCTCAAGATGCCATGTGAACGCTGTTGGGTTTCCTGGTGGAAGGTGGTTTTGGGGTTTGCTTAGAGGGGTGGGGGAAAATCTGCCTAGCCCTACCCCTGAACCACCCCAGAGTTTTCAGCCCCTCGACTGGTTGCACCTGGAAAGATTGAGCTGGTTGTCACTCTCCATGAGATCAGTTGAGGAGCTAGGACTTCCTGTGTGGGAGGGAGTCAGGTGTGGCTTGGGACAGCTTTACTTTCATTCAGGAAGGGGAATCTGCCTCCCCGTCACCCCCCTGTAGGATAACATTAGTTTGTCCTTTCTGCCTTGCCACAGGGAGCTTAGGCTTATTGGGTTACTCCCATCACAGTGCTCCCAATCCTCTGTGTTTACTGGTAATCTCTTTCTTTGTGCTCTGCTTCCCCAACCTGTCAACCACCTTTATCTCCTAATCAGACTCAGTTAACTTGTAAATATTGCTTTTTCTCTTCTCCTTAAATCCTTTGCATAATTAATTTAGAAAAATGTCCTTTTCGTGTAGATACAGGAAGAGAGTTAATGCTATGCTTTTGTAACTTGGGAGTTGATTAACTCCAAATAATATTCACTCCTGGGCATCTGTTCTCTTGACTTAAGCTTCAGTTGCCCTTACTTCCTAGCATCCCAAGAGCAGGGTCCAGACGAGGGACCGGATGGACCCAGGGCAAGCTGTGAGCTACCCTGGCATCAAAATGGGCCAGGCCAAGTGCCATAATACTTAACTATGAGTTAAGAGTATGGTCATGGACAAATTCTGTCATGATCCAAAATGTAACAACTAGATTAGGACCCTGCTAGGGTTAGGAAAGATTAATCTGACCTGAGCACTGTAGTTTGAGATCTATAGAGAGATGTCTCCAGGAGAGCCACCCTACAAGCTCAATTTATCTCTGTGTCCATACAAAATAACTAATATTAATAGAATTAAGATGTTAACTAAGATGTTCATTAAGTTATTGGACTAAAGAAAGGAGAACTCCCCCCACCCCCAAGTGCTATTTTGCCCTTGAGCCTGATCAGTGATCAGGAAGGGCTTTCATATATGTTGATTGCACTACCCAGCCTGGGTGTGTGGTGGCTACCCTCAATACCGGGAACTGGGGAGAGACTAGAGAGAGACCAGAGCTGTGAGTGGGAGCGCAGAGAGACTAGCAAGGGGGACAGAAGGAGACGGGAATGAGGGGCTTAGATTGGAACAGGAGCGTAGGGAGAATGGAATAAATGGCAACTGATCATTAACCATCCTGGTCCTCTTTTCCTCCTTCATCTACCCATGGCATTGGCCGTCTGGGTGGGGGGGGGGGGGCAGGGGGGAAGAGTGACCCGAGACCACTGAACACATATGGCGAGAGAGAGCCTCGGGCTTCCTAGCAGTTCTTAAATATCCCATCCCCCCCCCCCCCCCCCAATACACACACACTGTTCTGAGAAGGCCCCAGAATCAACATCCTGGGCCAGTGTGTCTCGGAAGATTCAGTGGCACGGTGTTCTTTTGGACATTAGTTGTGGAGCTCGGCCAGCCAGATGGTGGGTATTTCATAAAAATACATGTTTGTGATGGGCAGAAGGACAGAGTGACCAGGTTTGGCCTGCTTGTGACATTGTTTCATGGTTCTTCGGTACTTAGTAACGAAGTCATGAATGGGAGCGGCAGGTTGAGACAGGAAAGTCGGGGCAGATTTTGGGGTGTCACGATCTGCTGTGGACTCCTGATTTTTTGTTGTTGTTGTTGCTGTTTTTAACCAGATGTCACAGATGACGCCTGTTATTGCCCATAATATTCAACAGCGCTGCAGTTGATGATGCTGGGGTGGGAGGTGGGGGTGGGGAAGCGAAGCCCTCTGCTTGCTAAGTCTTCTGAACTGGCAGTAGCCCCCCTGAGCAGTGCATGATGCAGTGACTTCCGTGAACCGTAATCAGAACTCATGAACTCTATGATTTTTCCACTTCCTGTGTGGCTTTGTGAATGAGGCTAACTTCATGAGATTGATTTCTTCTGAGTCAGAGGAGAGGGTCAGGTGTAGAATGACTGCATTCATTTGTGGGATATAGATAGATAGATAGATAGATAGATGGTAGCACTGTAGCACTGTGTCCCCCCCCCCCCCCCCCCCCCCCCCCCCGTTTTTCTTCGATTTGCTTGAGCAGGCACTGGTAACATCTCCATTGTGAGACTTGTTGTTACTGTTTTTTAGCATATCAAATACA